AAAAGTATACAGAATCTTTTCTCTAAGAGGGACAAAAGGTCCTTTGGACGTTTTAGAGGAGAAATATAATATAAAGCTGTGGCAGTAGGTTTAATTCAATTTCATAATACTTTTATCGAAATAAAGGTTCTATAGAGGGGATCATTTGGGATTTTGTTATTAAAATGTTATTAATTTCAATAAATTCCTAGTCCTGCTCTGATCGAGCCCACGTGCAGCGCCGCTCTCAACTGTACCTGTGATAAGGAGAGCTTTGCGCCCATCTGCGCCGATGGCAAGATGTACATCTCGGCCTGCCACGCCGGATGCAACAGCTCCTCGCTGCGGCCCAGCGACAATCGCATCCTCTACTCCGATTGTGCTTGCATTCCAGATGGTGAGATCCACTCAGATATCATGGTATATCCCAGTATTTCAACCCCTTTACGATTTGCAGCTCCTGAGGCGGTCAACGGTTACTGTGATAATAACTGCAAGAACTTCATCTACTTTATACTGATCTTTGCCATTTGCGTATTTATGCATTCCACCTCCGAGGTGGGCAGCATGCTGCTCGTCATGCGCTGTACACATCCAAAAGGTAACAACCTGGAGTACGAATTTATTTATAATACATACTTACCGAAACATACATTTATCCAACAGATAAGGCCATGGCCATGGGTGTGATTCAGTCGGCCATCGGCCTGTTCGGCAATGTTCCTTGTCCGATCATCTACGGCGCAGTGGTGGACTCCGCCTGCCTCATCTGGAAGTCCGTGTGCGGCAAGCACGGTGCCTGTTCGCTCTACGATGCGGATACCTTCAGGCAATATTTCCTAGGTGAGTCATTTCTGCTAAAGATAGAGATTTATGTAGAGAAGAGATCGAGTTTATATGAGTGATTTTATTATGAGAAAACCATTTTAGAAATCGGAAGATCAGATCTATTACATGGTTAATTATATTTATAACATTACAATAAACTTTATAATTTGTGCTTTTAATATAAGACGATTAAAAATATTTTAGAAAAACTTTCCCCAAATAAATACCGATGCTTTAGGGTATAAATCCAAAAATTCAAGTTTATACAAATCCTAAAATATCTGTTTTGTATCTTGACGTGATAATATTTACATTTAAATAGTAAATGAAAAATATATTAAACAAGTACGAACTTACAATTCCATACAACACCTCAGCTTGATAACTAATATAAATTATTTTTGAACAATCTTATACTATCCCCAGGAATCACGGCCGGCATTATGTTCCTAGCATTCCTGATGGACCTGGTGGTGTGGCGCAAGGCGCACCGCATCGACATCGCGCCAGAGGATCCGCCAGAGGGTGGGCCCACGCCCAACGGAAGGTCCTTGGAGGCGTCCGAGTCCAAGCAGCCCATAACTCCAGCGCCGGACACGACGGTCTAGGGGGAGCGGGACGGAGACGAGCCTTGCAACTGCTGCAAGTTTTCCAATAAACGTTTACCTTAATTGTTAATTAGTTATCATTTTGTCTAGTTTGTTAGCCTAGTGCAAGAGTTATGTATTTAGTTAAGTGGCATCTTCGAGCGTCGGGAGACCTCATTAAAATCTACATTAAAACGCGCTCGTCCAGCCCCCCGCTCCAAATCCCTGCTCCATATTCTACATAAAACCTATGAATTACGATTGAATTCTGTGTAAATCTCAACGCGAAACGAAGAAATGAAATTCTAGACATTATCATAATTGAGCGTAATTGAACGACACATATATATGAAGAGATACTGGTCGAAAATTGTGCAAACGCAAGAACATTTATAAATCTTTATGTGTAACAGCTATATCGCGATGTATGTATATCTGTAATTAATATATTAGACATATACATTTACATGTATGTATGTAATTGCAACCTATCTGTGGTAGTTAAATTTTAGTTAAAATTCAAATTAATTGTCTAAGTTTGTCATACAACAACAGCGGTAACAAAAATATACGAAAAGAAATTAAATGGAAAACTATATACAAGTACTAAATAAAGATGCATTTTATTTAACTCGTATGGTTTTAATTTAAGAGAAAGTAAGTGTTCTTGGACTATGGGAATCATGATTTAAAAAATCTCAGTAGTTCTGGAATAAGTTAACTAAGAACCACCTTTTGTTGGTATCCGCCGAGTCATTCCTTAAAAAATTCTTTTTTCTACCAAAAATGTGTTTTTTATTAACAATTTCAATAAAAAATTCTTAAATTTACGAAATGCAACATCGCTGCATCTGCCTTTTCGCCTAACAAAAACAACAAATTGTGTTATACAAAACGAAAACTTCAAATCCTTGCAAAAACTTCCTTGGGCTATTGTCTCTGAAATAACAAAAACAGTGGATGAGTAAGTCGTGCCCAGCGGGCAGATCGCAAATGGAGATTGTCTGCGTGCGCCCACAGGCGAGTAGAATAAAGTAATGGTATCAAAATCAGCTATCCGGCGACCACAGCTTGAATGTGCGGTCGAACGAGGTGGTGGCTATGTACTGCGAGTTGGGCGCAATGTCCACCGATATGACCTTGTTATCGTGGCCCTGTAGCGTCTTCAGCGGCTGCCACGTCTTGTTGGACCAAATCTTCGTGGTCGAATCGTAGGAACAGGTGACGAGAAAACTGCCGCACTCCTGCTGGTACTTCACATCCGAAATCAAGTTGGTGTGGGCGGGAATGGTGTAGACGGGCTGACGTCGCCGCAGGTCCCAGATCTTGCAGGTGTTGTCCTGGGACCCCGTCGCGATGTGGAATCCATTCGGCGAGAAGTCCACGCCAAACACGGCACCCAGGTGTCCCTCCAGAAACATGATGCAGCGCCCGGTGCGCAAATCCCACACCCGCCCGAAGGCATCCAGTCCGCCGGTGGCCAGGACACTGCCATCCGAATGATAGCTGAGGCAGTGCACCGGCTTAGCGTGTCCCTCCTGATGCAGCACCTCTGTCTTCTGCTCCAGATCCCACAGCCGCCAGCTGGAGTCGTAGCAGGCAGTGGCTAGGAAACGTCCGGACGGATGGAAGGAAACCTTGGAGACGCGATGCGGCATGTGGCCTGTGATGTCGGCGATGGACTCCTCGTTGTTGAAGCCCCACAGCTTGACGGCGCCATCGTGGCCGCCCGACGCCATGGCCACAACGTTCTCCTCGTCCGCTTTCACACCCGGCCGCAAAGCCACTCCACCCACATAGCTGGCATGTCCGCGCAGCGTCTGCTTCAGCTCGCAATCGGGCACACTCCACAGCTTGCAGAGACCCGACCACGAAGCGGTCAGCAGGAGTGTGGAATCCGTGCTGAAGGCGGCACTGCTCACGGGGCGCGTGTCGCCCACCTGGGAGCACAGAGGAGCCAACGACTGGAGTTTCTTCTGCATCTCCACCATGCGACCAGCTCTCGTGGCACTGGGCACTTCGAGGGCGTCACGGGCCCGAACCAAGCGATCCTTGGCACGCGGCAGGGAGTAATCAGCCAGCCAGAGCCGGGCAATGCGCAGAGAGTCGGGTCCCTCGTGATACCAGGTGGCCTGATCCTGCTCCCGCTGCTGCTGCTTGCGCTCCTCCTCCTCGTACTGCTTCTTGTTGATGGCGTGCTCGCCCAGTCCCGCGAGGAGTTCCTTGAGACGTCTTCGCCGCTCCGCTGGCCCTTCACCAAAGTAGCAAATCGGCTCGTTCAGCTGGCGTAGATTGCTCTTGATCTCCGTGTCGTCGGTGGAGACATTTATCTGGCGAGCCCGCTTCTTGCGCTCGAATTCCTCCAGCAGTGCCACCTTGTCCCGCTCCATTTCCGTCTCCAAATCAAAATAGTCATCGTCTATTTTGTTGGCCAGTGTAGCAGCAGTGGGTGGTGGTGCTGCTGCCTGTTTCGAGTTGTTCGTCTTTTTCGTCGACTCCTCGTAATCCTCATCGGAATCTATGTCCTCCAGTTGTCCGCCTGTGCTTGTTGTTGTTGCTCCAGACGCTGCCGGCGTTCCCTTAGTGGTTGTTGTTGCTGTTGCCTCAGACGCCGCGGCATTTTGCCGCTTGCGCTCCGATTCCTCGAGCGATCCATAGTGGAGCGTGCGCTGCCGCTTGATGTATTGTATATCGTCGTCATCGGACATTCTGGGCTCCAACAAACGAACGGTAAAGAATTAATTTTAAAACAAAATTTCGCCGAAAAAACGAAGGAAACAACAAAAAAATATCGGTCAATGAAAACGTTTTGTTGCCTAGTGTTGGACAACGCCGAGGGGGTGGGATGTCCATCGATGTTTAGCACACGAAGCGACGTGTACATCGATAGTTTTAGAACGGGTGTCCCAAATATAAATATTTAATTATTTATTTTCCTTTAATTTTCGTTTTCTTGCTAGTTATAAAAAACATTTATATCTTACATTTTTATTGCGTTCATTTTTTCCTTTTTAATAATATAAGGTAAAGATATATAAAATAAACATTATAAAATAACACCAATAAAACATTATTAAGACAGATTGAGAAGTAATCTATAATCTTATAAATTTGGCGGATAAGGACTTTGCTTAAACTTCTTAAAATACATATCTAACCGGGTATGATTTTGCAGATCATTTAGTGTAATAAAAAACTTTGGATAAAGTAGCCATTTTTAGTAAAACACAACAAAAAGCAGCTTTGGTTCAGTTTTTAATAAGAATTGTAAAAAGAAAACAAATTTTAAAGTGTTTTAATTTATCCTGCAACATAATGCGTAAAGATATAGCAATATAACTCCAATCCTACGACATGCATTTAATAAACAATATATCAGACATATATTGATTTTGGCTTCAAAATTAATAACAAATAATTATCAAGTGTCTAGTAATGAGTGTATATTTTCCGTAAACCGTATTTTTTAACAATAATTTCGCGAGAAAAATAAATACACAAGGCTCATAAAATACGTGATTTTTGAGAACTGTGACTTTTGACTGGTAGATACCAGCACGCGTTCACGCACATACATTGATATCGCCGATATTTTGAAAACATCGGTGACATCGATGGTTTTCCATCCCCAACACACACACACATATTTTCCCAGGTGGTAAAAAACGGAGAGAAAATTGAGGATTTCCACACGCTAGCAGACACATTGCCTGCGAAATAGCTGTCACTGCCACCGCCGCAGCAATTTTCACGCGCTCCCGGCATTAGGAAATGAGCGCGCCGAGCAACAAAATGTCGGCCACCGATCAGATGCGAGCAATGCTGGACCAGCTTATGGGTACGACGCGAAACGGCGACGAGCGCCAGCTGAAATTCTCGGACACTAGGGTCTGCAAGTCCTTCCTGCTCGACTGCTGTCCCCACGACATCCTGGCGTCCACGCGCATGGATCTCGGTGAGTGTCCCAAAGTGCATGACCTGGCTTTCCGCGCAGATTACGAGAGTGCTGCGAAGACGCGCGACTACTACTACGACATCGAGGCCATGGAGCACCTGCAGGCCTTCATCGCCGACTGCGACCGGCGTACTGACTCGGCCAAGCAGCGCCTCAAGGAGACGCAGGAGGAACTGACCGCCGAGGTGGCCGAAAAGGCCAACGCGGTCCACGGCCTGGCCGAGGAGATCGGCAAGAAACTGGCCAAGGCCGAGGCTCTAGGCGAAGCTGGCGAAGTCGAGGACAGCATGGAGCTGATGAAGGAGATCGAAGAGCTGCGCGCCAAGAAGATCAAGGCCGAGCACGAGTACCGCACCTCTATGCCCGCCTCCACCTACCAGCAGCAAAAGTTGCGCGTCTGCGAGGTCTGCTCTGCCTATCTGGGCATCCACGACAACGACATCCGGCTGGCAGACCACTTTGGTGGTAAGTTGCACCTCGGCTTCCTCACCATCCGTGAGAAGCTGATCGAACTGGAGAAGACGGCAGCGCCGCGCAAGGCTGAGCTGAAGCGGACGGGTAAGATGACGGACCGCGACGACGAAGGGCGCGGGCGCAATCGCTACTTTGTAGGTGGTCGCGAACTGGACCGCCGCTCCCGCGTGCATCGTTCCCGGTCCAGGGAACGCCAGCGCAACAGAGATGCGGAACGCGAGCGACCCAACAACGGCCGAGGACCGGACGAGAAGGGTGGCGAGCGGCCCAAGGAGTCGGCGGAAGGCGCAGAACGGCCCGAAAGAGCTGGAGAACGTGGTGGAGGGCGACGTGATGACCGGGACAACCACGGCAGAGATCATCGCGAACGTGAACGCGATGGCAGGCGGGATCGGGAGCGTCATGGACGGAACGACAGAGGTCGCTTTGGCGACCGTGGCGGCGGAGGAGGCGGTGGCCATCACCGGGAGGACAGACGACGCTCACGCTCTAGGGAACGCTCGCCACGTGAACGACGAAACTTCAACCACTTCAGAGATGGCGGTGGTGGTGGTGGTGGCGGGGGCAACGGCCAGCGCAGACGTTCCTACTCCCGCGAGCGCTACTCCCGCCGCTAGGAATCCCACCCAGCGCACGTACGTAACATTAATCACATCAACTACAACTACAAAGCCACCACAAATTGAACTACTGAAAACAACAGCAACCGTATATTCATAGTCTAATTAATAAAGCGACCTAAGCCACACTTTCGACGCTCCAATGTGCAGAGACAACCTTTGTTAATTTTTGATGATTTCTATTTTTGATCTTGCGTTCCCACTTCTTCTAAAGACCGAATAAAGCAAAAAGCTGTTGCATCCCCATGTTAAAAGAACCCAGCCTAACCGTAAAACCCGAACCTAAAAGAAAAACTGTAAGAGATACTATATACTCGATATGATACAATTGAAATTCGATACACCCCGTCCAGTCCAGAGTATTTGGCAAGTAGAGATACCCAACCAAAAATAGTCAACCCAACGAATCCGCAGTGTTGCCAATTGTAGTTAAATTCAGTAACTCGGGTAGGACATAGATAGAGAAAACTTAATGATTGAGACGCAGAACAGGCGTTACTTTTAATATTTGATTATTTGTGTGTTGTATAGCTAGCTACAATTTGGTAACACTGACTAAAAACTTAACAAAAACTAAACACACTCGACCATGTACTCTTCTCAGCTAACGATCACGTTCTCCCAGTAGAAGTCAACGTGTGTTATGCATCGATGTCGTCCCGTTTTGGGGTAAGCCTCCACCATATATAACTCTGACACTCTATCACTGCTCTGATCTGATTTGATTTGATATGATTTGATTTGATTTGTAACCCCAAAGCGTTCTCTACTTGAAGTTCGACACTTTCGCAGCCGCTTAGCGCTCTCGCACAGCTTCGGTACGTATTGAGTATGGCGAGGTGACTATATCCATTATACCACCCAATGTTAGTTGTTTTGGCAGATATGCGTATTACATAGATAATCCAGATAATATAGCTTGGGTACGTATCCATTCCGGCCGACGTTTCCTTTCGAATCGTCCCCAGAGAGTGTCGTTTATGTATTCGTTTTTTGGGTACGTATTAATGTTAGAAGATCACGACTCTGTGGTACGTATGCATATAACGACATTGATAATTCCCCGTAAGCAGACCAGGCTTTGTAGGGTTCTCGGCGATCCAGATCCCAACGTACGTATTCCTCCTCCTTTCTCTCTCTCTCTTGAAAACAAATAATCAAAAATACAACCACCATAAACAAAATAAAAATAATAATCTCGTAGCTATTTAGAGGCAAACGAAATCCGTTTTCTAACTAAATCTCTGTTTATCTTGCCAAATGGTGCTTAAGCCACAGAATCGATGCTGCCACGGGGGCTCAGATCAGTACATGCCTATATGTGAGTATTCGGGCCACTAATCTCTGATTATAATCAAGCAAATACTAAATGTAATCATCGAAGACGGCAGAACCCCTGTTGTTGGTTCGTTTCTAACGGCAGCCGAGGAATTTATAGAGGGAATTGTGAGAGCAGTGTAAAGAGTTGTTTGTGTTTGGCCCTGACAGTGGGTAAGAATCGTTCGAAACCGCTAACTGATTTTCTATCTACCTATATATCTATCTATCAAACAATACCTATTGTTTTTATCTACTCGTAAGTCAAGACACTGTTCTACACACTTTTAAGTTATATACCACACACTCAAATAAGATCTAAATTAAAACTAAATTATGGATCTAAGCGGAATGTAATAAAATTGCACTTGAATTATACTCGAGTAAACTTCTTATTTTAAATACATTGCTATGGGGTTTTAAATTTAAGTATAAGATAAGATCCGGTGAGATCCGACAACAGGCACCTAAAATATATCTTTTTCAAAACGTCAACCGCTTACCTGGCATTTTTCAACATAATGCCTTATTACCGTAATGAAAACGTGTTTCACCAGGTAAGACAAGATGATAATATCATAGTGGGATGCGTTTAATCGGACCTCCCACAATTGAGGATTTGGCTTTCAGGCTTTCAGGGTAACATTGTTATTAAGGACTCTTCTGATAGGGATCCTTGAGACCCATCACGTTTGACCCCAAATAAAAACGCAATTGAAAAGTCTGTTTTCTTCCATGAGAAGGCTTCTCGGTGTTGTTTGTATTTTTAAATATTGCTGTTTCGTTTGGAAAGGACTTTCATTTTGTATTCTTTTTTTTTGATCCGCTATCTTTTTTCTGCTTGATTTTTGTTCCAAAAGAGAATTTTCTGTACAATTTTGTCTTTTATGTATAAATTTAAAATTAGGTTTTCATTCTTTGTTTAACAATTTCGATTGGCCCGAAAATATATGTTTTTAGAATTTTTAAGCGTTTTCAAAATCTGAATTTTTGTTGTTTTTCTTTGTGTTGGTGTCTATTCGTTTGGTAGTGAAATCTGTAGTTGTTGCTGTGGTATTGGGAAAACCTTCTCATCCGCTCTCCACCAACATCCCTTTAAAGTCTGGTCATCTCTTCTACTCCTAACACAAAACAGTCACTGCGGGACCCGCCTTGCGGTGGATTGATCCGCATTCAACTCTCTTTTACAATATAATTTGATGGTTTTTGGAAATTGAATTTGCAGATGATCATCAACATGATTGGAATTTAGAATCTACGTGTTTTTTATCTTTACAATTATAGTTATTATTTATACAACAAGTAGTTTTCATTTGGGTTGTTTGTTTTGAGTTTTTGGTTGCCTTGCTGAGTCGCAACCTTCTAAAATTTTGCACTATTAGATTGGATTTAATCTTATATAAAATTCATCGTTCTACAGTTTAGAGTATATGTATTGTGTTGTGGTTTCTTTCTCTTTAGTATTCGATGGGTAAAAAATTATGCTCTCGACTTTTAGTTTTGCTTAAAGACACATCTTAAATACGTCTATATATAATATAAAGTGTTCCTCATTTTATCAGTGTTGTTTTGTTTGTTATAGTTTGTTTGTTAATCGTTTAAACCCTTGATGCTTACGAAACTAACTTAACTATATGATTTGATTTATACTTGGATTTGTTTTCCTTATTACATCGTACAATAGTTGTTGCTTTTGCTGTTGATTTTATGCTTAAAATTAGACATTGAATTTGGCATTTATTGCGCATACTTGATAATAATTAACATGATCTTATCTTTCCCCATAGAATTGTATAGTTATTTACAAACAATTTATCGCCTGATTTGTTGATTACGATTATAAAGACCACTTGCGGGAAGGACAGGGAATTACAATTCAAATTAAGGCCATAGCATCTGTTTAATTATTCTTATGGGGTTTTGAAGTTTGGATTGAATGCTTGGAAAATTTTGTATAGCGTGTGCCTAAACTAAAGCTTTTAAAACTTGTAAATGCAGGACTAGTTTTCTGAACTGAGGGCTGTACAAAAATTAGCGTGGTTTTAGAAATGAAATAAAAAAAATAGTCTAAAGGGTGTTGAAAACTAATTATAGTTTGGCATTTGCCCGGGGCAGCTTTGAATTAATTCAGAAAAATAGATATAATAACTAGACTTATTTAAAGGGCTGATGCATGAACTAACCTAAAAACTAAATCTTTACGCGCCGTAGAACAAAATGATTAATTTGAGTAATATATGAGAAGACTACTAAGAGCTAGATTCACAGGAAACTGGACTTGATGATCATCACAAGTGTGCGGGTGTGTCATTGTTATTGTTTTTGTTGTGTGTGCTTGTCTGTTTGTTTAAATGGTTTGCTGGTATTGCTGATGTTGCAGTTTGATTGCTGTTGTAAATGTTGGTGTTTGTGTTTTTGTTGTCGTTGTTTCAGTCCTTTGAGTGAATCGGTATCACATATTTATGTCCATAGGGACTTTTGTACTTAATGCCACAATCACGATAGAATTTATCTGGTATACCTAGATTACATAAATACAATTTGCCACAATTGTTCGTTGATGTTGCTGCTGCTGATTTGTTAGCCGCTGCTGCTGCCGAAGTGCTGGCAATGGGCGTTGGTGTGGCAGCAGCCGAAGAAGATGATGATGCTGTTGCTGTTGATATGCCATTCAATGGTAGTATGGGTAGAATTGAGTACTTGATAGCCACCTCATTTATGCCACACGGCGGCGGATCTACGGCAAGCACCGAAGCGCTAAAAAAGGAACGAATGTTAAGGTGACTTTAGCGTTTAAAGTCTTAACACTAACCGATTTACACCGAGCCATAACCTGATCGCATCCGATAAATTAGCGGTGTTAGTCGATAATATCACAAGATCTGGCGTGGGCAAGGCTATAAGATAATTGATTATAAGTTTAAGGTAGGTTTATTTACATGGCACATTGAATACTTACCATCTACTGAGTGAACTATGACATTGTCGGTTGCCTTGAACAAGGAAATCTCAGCGCTGCTGCTGTTATGCTCCACCAGTTTGGCCTGCTCCACGTACAGTAGTACAGTGAGACCATGCGATGCCAGCTGGCGACCAGTGGCTGCTCCAATGTTAATTGCTCTGCAAAGATTGCACTCTTAGTTTTCAGGTTGCATGCAAATTCAAACCAGCTCACCTCATGTTCTTGACGCCATCGCAGATGATGGCTATCTTCGGCCACTGATGATTGTTGGCCGGCGTCAAACGTCTGGCACCGCCCAGCAGTGTGATGGCCAGGTCACTGGCCCCGCGTGCCAATATATCAATCTGCCTCTGCAGCGAGAGGCCCGCCTTCTCAGCACTCATCTCGATCTTATTCCGAACGTAGGCCGGAATCGTGGGTATAATGAGTCCGTCATCTGTCACAAAGTCCTGGCCGCCATCGAACATGCTCTCGATCTGGCGCAGCTGCAGCGGCTTACTGGCCAAGATGTTCTCGTCGTGTCGGTACTTCTGCTCCGGCTTGTGATGATGGTGGTTGACTACCTGCCGCACCTCGTCTGGTTTCTGGTGCGTCGACTCGATGTCGTCCCAAATGGCCTGCTTGTCAAACAGCGCCAGATTTCCCTCAAAATCGAAGTCTTCGTGGATCAGTGGATCGTCCGCCTCGCTGCCAAAAGTAAGCTGCACCTGTTGCCGCATGCTGCTTTCCCGTCGTACCCTATTTCGCTTGTTTTTTCCGTTGCCGTTGCCATTTCCATTGGTGTAAGAGCCGTTTCCGTTGCCAATTCCATTGTTGTTAACGTTGCCATTTTTTCTGCCATTGGCATTTGCATTTCCATAGCTGGAGGCTGCTGGCTGCTTGTAAAATCCATCTCCGTTGCTGACGATATCTATGGGCCTGCTGCTGCCCAATGACAGCCCAGCCGCCTCGCCGCTTTCCCCACTGCTGCTGCAGTAGCTCTCCCGCGTGTTGGCCACGTAGGCGCCCAGTTTCACCTCAACCTTCGGCGGTATCAAGTTGCCAAAAAAGGCGGCCACGCTGTTAGGAGTCGTCGACATCTGCGGCTGCTGCTGGGCACTGGACGCCCGAGATGTTTGCGGTGTTCTATGTGGCAAATCAAAGATAGATGTTATATGAGAGTATTAAAAAAGGACGCATATTTAAATGTATAGTTGTAGATTGAGAATCATTATAAATGACAAACTTTAAAATAAAATTTGCAGAATATATAAAAGTAGGGTTCAAGAAATCATGTCGAATATATTTTTTATTCGATTAACTCATTATTTTACAATATACCTGAAGGGACAGAGCCTAATTGACCTATTTCACTTGCTTCCATATATAAGCTGATTTGAACTGAAACATTTTTAATCAAGTGAAACTGGCAACATGTATAAACTATGATTCTTAGAAAATTACCAGGAAAAATAGATAATAAATCTCAAAAGCTTCCATAGGGTTACGGCTACTCTGGACTGAATTTTACCAACCATTAAAAGGGCCACAATACCTTCGGGTGCCATTAGAGCCGTTGGTCTCGATGAGCTTCAGCTGGTGCATCTTATCGCTGAGCGCCGAGTTAAAGTTGCCACGTGACCCCGAAGAACTCGATGCGGCTAGGGCTGCTCCTCCCGCACCTGCCGCTCCTTGTCCATATCCGTTGCACCTTGACCGTGGCGTCGATGGCAGATCCTGTTCCTGATCCTGTTCCAGGTACTGCTGCTTCTGTTGCTGCTGCTGCTGGAGTTGGAGTTGCTGCTGCTTGCCCAGGATGTTGGAGAAGTGGGGCAGCTTGACGGGCGTTGGTTTGTTTATCACGGGGGGCGGGGCCGTGTGACCATCTATTTCCTCCTTCACGGGCTCGATGAGATCGATGCTGCGAATGTCCGTGCACTTCAGGACCACCTCGGCGTTCTGCTTGCGCAGCGGTACACCATTTCGGAAGGCCCTCACGATCGTGATCTCCTCGGCGGAGATCTGCTTAATCAGGCCCTGAAAAACGCCCAGGACCTCGTCGCAGGCTATAGACACCGCACAGCCGATCCAGTCTTGATCCGTCGGACCCATGTAACCAGTTTTTGGCACTCCCACTGCAGATGCGACAATATGTTCGGTTTGTTTGTTCTTCGCTGGCTAACGTTTGTTGTTCAAAATGTTTGCTGGCTTTCGCAGCCCTGCTTGTTGTTGTTTTCTTTCCTAATACGCAATTTCGCACTAACTACGCACCACGCACCTCTCTTCCTCTTCTTCCTGCTGCTGCACAGCCGTTGATTTTTAAGTGTTTTTATGGCTCGATGTGAGGTGTTATGGGGGTTTTTAACTATGCGGCTAGGTGTTTTGAATTATTTTACTTTAAATCGTTAAATGCACCAACAATTGCAACACTTTTAGGCTAAAACTTATTAGATTTCTCGTTTCATTGGGATTTTCACTGCTTCCGTGTGGCCGTTCGTCTGTGGTGGGAAAATTTGCAGTAAATACCAAACTCTCTGCGTGGCAAATTACGATTAGTGGTAAAAAAAATTATAATATCACTAATATTTTTTGAAAATTAAAAGTATTATAATGGTAAAATTCTTAAAATAACCCGTACAAGAGATTTTATAACCTTAAACACGACTTTCAATTAACTGTTAAGGCTGTCAGGTGGTGAGGTATTTTATGGGTAAACACACACGGTCACTCTGGCAGTTTTGTTCTCGATTTTTAGCCGTTTGTGTGGTTTTCCTGTCTGGTGTTAAATTCCTGTTTTCGATCTCGCGTGCAATATATATAGGCCGACAAAGCCGAACGACATCGGCGACCAAGGCATGTAAGCCGCTGCAGCGGTTGAAATGATAAATCGCAGAAATAGTGCATAAGTGCATAATTCGCCGTGTGAAAAATACGTGATGATTTTCCGCAAATAGTGAAATAAAGGCGAACCCACACGCATACCAGTGCAAAATATATACATAAATCGGGCTAAATTATAGTGCCTCGTGTGTGTGTGTCTGAACGTAAGTGGAAAACTTGGGCGAAACTTTATGCTAACCATAAACGGTAGAAGAAGAAATGGCGTTGAACCCTTCGCGCTTGGCTAATTATCAAGGAAAATGTTTGGCTTTTGTGCTCTCTCACCCACACAGACACTCACACGGGGGCAGGGCGGCAGACAGAGATGGCATCTAGCACAAGTACCGTTGTGCACTTTGTTTGCCGTCTTTGTTGTCTGCTCGCTTTTCTTTTCTTTTCATTTCTTCTCTTCTATTCCCTTCTCTCTTTTGTCACCTTGTCGCAGCCTCCTCTTCTACTTGTTCTTTTCCACTCGTGTCTTTTTTCCGCTTAATTTGCACTTCCGTCTTACACACATATTGACCCCTCTCCACCCCCTCTCTTTCTCTTTGCAGAAGTATATTAAAATAAAAACAACAACAATACAATGTCGGCACGTTCCAGCGGCTTGGTCGCCGCTTCGGCCATTCCCGCCCCATCATCCTCCGCCTCCTCATCGGCGGCCGGAGTCGATGTGCCACGCCCACCTCCCCGCAGGCGGGCGGCCTCTGTTGCAGGACAACAGCAAACGCGCCCGGAATTCGGCAATGGACACACGCCACGTCGATCGTTGGCAGCAGTGGTAAGCTTGCATAAGTTTGAAGGGACTAAAAGATCATTCGGTATTCGCCTGATTTTTATTTGTTATTAAAAGTTATATCAAAATTGAATCAACGAAGAAATTCCTACAATAATTAAGAGAAATGGGTATTTGTAAGCTGCTAAAAGTTTGAAATAATACAAATATCGTAAACTTGTATCATGGGTATTTGTTTTGGGATAAATGATTAAGGTATACGTTTATATCATTTGAAAAAACAAAGATGACGAGCTAAAAGGAAACTTCTTTAAATTTTATCTTATCAGAGCCATCGTATAAATCATAGATGGGTTTTTGGCTGCCAAATAATTATTTTTATTTATGTTTAAAAAGGGAAAACCTGTAATCGATCGAAGATATCTTCGAAATGGTATCCAAAATTATTTTCTTTCGGAAAAATAGAAAAGGAATTTATCAAGAGGAGGTGCTGGGGGATTTGGTTTTCCTTATCAGTGCTTCATGTTTCTATTTTTATGATGTTTTCACTGCTAATCTAATCTGCAGCTTGCCAAACAGCTGAGTCGTGTAGATGGGCCCTCGAGATTCCACCAGCGTATGGGTGATAAAATAAGTATATAGTGGGAAAGATAGGGGATCCAAAATTTCATCGGATGGGGGAAACCCATATCTATTTCCTATTACCCAATCCCTAGTTCAGATATTATTTAGCTACTACTTAATTATGTGGAACTAAAACAAAACAATTTGCTTTTTAAGGGTATTTTCATTTCATTATATTTTAACACATATTAGGGTTGTCGATTACGTCACATATTGAATTAATCCACAAAGTATCTAAAATATAACTTATTCAGGTGCTTCGCCGTTTTCAATAGAGTGCGGGACATCATTCTGAAAACTTAGAAACACTGATAATAAGCTGTTTCATTGTGTTGTATAAATATATAATATATTTTAAGGGCACCTAAAATAATGACAACAACAATTTATGCCGAAAATGGGATATTATAGTTAAGAATAAAAAAGAAAAAAATTTAAACAAACTAAGATGTTAGAATTGCTTGAACATCTCTTCACTTTCAATTTCCCAACTGCGGAAAATTGCTGAATAAGCAACCGCATGCAAATAAATCGGCCTTAACTGTTGTTTATTTAGCGCCTAGAATTCGCTTCTATTGTTTTGCTCACTTGTGTAAACAAATACTTCGTTCGCATCTCAGACCGAACGGAAACTAATTTATTTATCTTAATTTGCCAAAAGATGCGAGCCACTTGAGCAGTCATCGGCATCTTCCGACCTAATTGAATTTATCAACACCATTCTTGGCCGCCACCTTTTCAATGACTACAGTGCGTAAATTTTCTGGGATCTGTTCCATAGAGAAAAACTAAAAGTCAAATATGTTAAGTTTATTAACAATTACTTAAATAAAAGTTTTTATAATATATTTGCAAACATTCCAAAGGAAACAAATGTTTTTAAATTAGTTGCAATATAATTTTGTTTTATTCAAATCATTGTGTTTTGGGTTTTCTTTAGTTTTAATCATTTATTTTCATTGAGTAACACCCACGATACATTAAATTCAAATACCCAAAATTAAAAGTAAATTACAAAATAACCAAACATTTAAAACGGAAATTAACTAAAAAAACAGATAAATGAAAAATACATAAAATAAGGCATTGGTTTTTTTCTGTGTGTTAACATAATAAGAGGTAAATTGGCGGCGTTCAAATTCTGTTTGCCTAACTTATTTAAGCGTTGTCAGAAAGGTTAGAAATTCCTGGCCGAATGAGGGGGGAAGTACGTAGACCCGCTAATTGAGCCGGGTTCTTTGGTTTATTTACCCCAATCCGCACGTCAGTCGGCGATTGATGACGTCGCCCAATCGACGCATCTGCCTAAGCGCTCGACGTCACAATTTGCCCACCGAATTGCCTTAATGGCCCCTCTTATCAGTCAACAGTTGGTCACTTACAAGCAGTTAACTTTGTTTGGATCCGTTGCGTCAGCAGTGCCGGCAGCAGTCAAGTGTCAATTATAATTGATGATGAGCTACTTAATCGAGAAATGTTAATGGGAAATGGGGATTCCTAATTTTAATGTTACAAATACAAATTGCAGCCGTATTCACACAGATACTTACGCCCACACAGATACTTCCTCACACACCAGCGCATGCCGCATGCGATCAGCTGTTTTTGTTTTGTTTTGCTTTTGGACACTTGTTCGCTGGCAGCTGTCAAAAGGGGGAGTGAGATACAGAGAGAGAGAGCTGTAAGAGCTGTAATTTTGAAAAGCTTTTTCACCACCAGCTAAAAGCTTCAGCAGTAGTGTTGAACAGTGTGTTTACAGATTTAATTTTGGTATTTTACTTCTTTTAATTTATTAATTTTAAATTGTTTTAAAAATAAAAATGTAAACAATATTTTATACCTTGCTAAAAATATATATTTTAAAAATTACTTTTTCAAAAAATTAGAGTGTAAGGAAATATTAGCAAGCAAGACCTAAACATATTTTTATTTGCTTTGATTAATTTAAAAATTCTGTCAATTCGGTTTAGTGTTAAAATAAAATACAAAATAGTATAAGTGATAAGTGAAGTCAGTCTCGATAGTCACTTTCGATCACAATCGACTTAAGCCTAGTATCCACTTCGACGTAAACCGTACGCCAGTCATGAGAGAGAGCGAGAGGCAAACAGCTGGCGTTCACTTTTCGTCGGGCCTTTTTTTCACGTCGGTCTCCTGATCGACGAAAAAAATACCAGAAAATTCCATAGCGTTGCCAGTCTGCGGAAACGTGAACCCTAGCGAAAAGATTAAAAATTTAATCTTTTGGCGTGCGCTTCTCACTGAACATTATAAGAAATGGAGGAAAAACTCAAAAAACTCGCAAAAGTCGATTGCAGGTGTTTATATGTGAGGACAAAATAACATTAATACTATCTGGGATGCCTCTTGTCAGAGCAAAATGTTTTTAGGTCCAGAATGTACGAAAAAACACAATAAAGGTGCAGCTATGAACTTTAAATTAGCAAATAATTATCAGTACATTAAAAAAAACAACTGTTAAATTTAAATTGTATTGTTTTTAATTTCTTTGTACAGCGGCAGACTTGTCATGCCAAGGTATTTGATAATATCTTTTAAAGGCTTTTCCCGCAAATACGATGTTTGAATTTTAACTGCTTGTCAACAAACCCAGCTGATTGACAGTACGACCATAGCACGCTTAAATCTGATGAACTCTCAAACTTTTGGTCACACTGGAAAGATTAAAGTTTTTACGCTAGCGTAATCGTTTGTCGATCTGGATACTAGGCTTTACTCACCAATTGATGGTGTTACAAACACTGCCAGAACCCGATGGGAATTATAATGTCGTAGAAGGAAAAACTGAGCCAGCTTAGAAAGGCTTTGAAGTGTTCTTCTTAGAGTACGCGGATATTTAATACCAAAAAGTTCTAAAGATTCTAAAGGTCATGTGTAAAAGAATTTGTGCCGGTGCCGCTTGTTAAATAATGTTTTCTGTTCTTAAAAGTCTGTTTCCAACCCTTGGTCACACTGGTGCAATAAAAGCTTTGCATTAGGGCAGACGTTTGGGGACGCTCCCGCGCTGGCCACACTATTCGGTAGAGCTGCCTTCATTTTAGCTTAGAACGCCAAAGCGCCAAGTTCCGTGTTTCGTGCAGCGGCTGCCGACAAGTGTTGCTGTTGCTGTTCCGCTCGCACTCACACCGCACACACACTCGCAGCGGGAGCGAGCGAGAGAGGCAGACATTTACGCAGAACATGTTTTCGCAATAGTGTTGGTGTGCCGTTTGTTGTTGTTATTGTTTCCATCGCTTAGGGCCGTTAATAAAAGATAAATAAGTGAATAATTGAATTATAAATATAGAGGGTACAGCCACACACACAGCAGTGTATTATATAGATAAATTTATTGCACCGTACCCCTGAAATGTGTTAATTATATAAAAAAAAAGTAAATAAACGTACGTGTCGGAAAGCAACAGTTTGTGCTCGACAAAAACCGAGAAATCTTAAAAACGAAATCAGAAACATACAAAATTCTAATTTCTCTCGCCATTTTTCGGACGCTCCTTATTAGTCATGCTTGCAAAAACAAAAATTTTTGCCGACTGGGAATGTGAAGCCTGATTCTGCCATGCCCCTTTTGGCCCTAACCAACATTACGTATACGCAATAAGCACAATAAAAACAAAACGGCAATTGTTGTGAAACCTGTTCCCTTTTTTTTGTGGCCGTCTGCAGCTTGCAACTGAAAAAAGAAAAAAATCAAAAGCTCGACGAGATACCAAAATAAACCTTGAGTGCGCCAAAAAGTGAAAATCGAAAAAAAGAACTCAAAAAGGCTGAAAGAGTATAAAATTCCTTCTGACCAACTTGTTTTGTGCAGTTTTAACCCACCTGAAGTGGCATATATTTCCATGTTGTTTTTATTTCTTTTTATAACCCTCGCAATTTATTGTTCAATTTAGTTTAAGAGGCGTGCACGAAAATTAACACAAACCGAAAACGTAAACAGAGGAAGAAAAATCGGCAGTGAATAAAGCCAAAATCGGAGTCGCAATCCAAATCGAAATCTAAATCCACATCAGAGTAAAAATGGCCGAGTCAACAACCACATCGCCATCGGTGACGAGCGAAGATGGCCAAATCCATGGCTTGAATAGCAGTGATGTAAGTAACTGGCGAGAGGAGCGCCTCTCTTCGCCGCGCTCTCACCAGTACGTGAAAATGGTACATATGCAAATGTTCGAGCCTCTGTGTGAGTGTGCTCATTTTCTTCAGCCGCTAATTGAGCCGCCTTTGATGTGCCTCACGTGCCGTCCATCCCACCCCTTCGTGTAATCCTCCTCTCCACATTCACATACCTCTTGAGATTTTCCGGCTCAAGGCCTCCTGGTTATTGAGATTTTACGGATAAATATAAAGCCGTATCTTATGTGATCGGAGAGGCAAGTAATGAAATTATGAGGCATGGTTTCTTAGTCTATTCTAATTAAATTTAGACTTTGTTGTTGTTATTGTTAGATTGGCCGTATAGATTTTTATTTATACAGAAATACATATTTATGTGTAAAGTTCATTAATCAAACGTAAATTTGGAAAGATCTGCGGGGCTTTTGACCCTTTAATAGAAGGACAAACTTGTCTTTCTTTCTTCGCAAATTACCTTTCCCCGAATCAATTAAATAAAAAAAATGCGAATTAAAGAATAATTTATCTTTTCGATAACAGAAGCTTTCTTTCTGCACTTATGAGCGTCATAGACAATGATATATCATTGTCGCATTTCATCAGTATATTTATAGATTTAAAGGTTTTTGACATATACGTCATTCCTTATTAATTGGATAAGTTCTTAATATTCTTAATTTCTGCTGGTTTTTTTTCTAAAATAACTATCAATTAGTAGTTAAATTCTTTAACAAATTAGATTTTCAAGAATTAATCTTGAAGTATCAATCATCTAACCCAGATGCATGAGTAGGGTGTCAATTTGTGTAATGAATTTGCATTGACATCTAGAAATAATAACAACTGAAGGGCGTAAACCAATCAATTAGGTTAATGGCAACGACTAGGCTTTAGGCCACACTCTTTTTGGAATGGTAGGATTTTTCTACTGCTTTTTGTGCGCATTAAAAATAACAATTGATATTCAAGTTTGTTTAATTTCATTGTTGACTGGAATTTATTATCTCCCATCTGCATTTCGTTTAAGCCTGTTTGAACAGCAGACGAAACGTTAAGAGCAACAGAAATGGGTTTTCGTTGAGCGCCTTGACTTCTTTCGACTTCCAACAATGCTTCCTCTTTCTCTCGCTTTTGCTTATCAGCGCACAGCTGAATGATTATTCACATATATATTTTTATAATTCATTATTCATTCAGTTGGCACGGAAATAAAAGTGTAAGAAAACTAAGGCAAATGTGAAATGGTTTGTGGAGCAGAGAAAAGTGGTGATAGGAATGATGGACGGCGGAAGGGCGCCTTGCTGGTTGTATGTCACATGGTCATCCAAATGCCAAAAGTCAACGCTTTGCCAACTCCGATAATGAGCATTTGGCTTTGCGCCTATTGATAACCGAAATTCTCTACGAATTCAGCTTTCCGGTAGCCAAGAAAATCGAAACCATATCAGTGAGATTCGTGATTAATAATTGTACTGCAGAACCAATTGACAAACCAATTGCCCAAGTCAAATTCTTTATGAAACAAATGAACAAAATTGTTAGCAAATATACCCTGCGTCTAGAGATTTCTAAATAAGGTTATTAAATATTTAGTTGCTATCTCTCGCTCAGCTAACTTATGTATTTTCGCGTAAACATCCGGGATAGTTAATAACTTTTGTCACCCAACACATAATAGAATTAAAAATAAAAACAAGAAAGGAAAGCTAGCTTCGGGCGGAGCCGAAGTTGATATACCCTTGCAGCATATTCTATAAATTATATTCTCCAAAATTATTCATATGATGCATTCTTAATACTCATAAAAAGTCCCAACTTCCTAACTTTAACAAGAGAGAACGCTATAGTCGGGTGCCCCGACTATCAGATACCCGTTACTCAGCTAAAGGGAGTGCGAGGGAGATGGAGATAGAAACTTTGATCACGCATAACTTTTTAACGAATGGTCCGATTTGAAAAATGTCTTCTACATTTCGATAGGTATTGATAAACACAAAAAAACTGCATTTTTACTTTTCCGAAATATTTAAATTTTTAAAATATAAGCGATTGTGGGCGTCAGAGGGGGCGTGGCACCATTTTGAAACAAACTTGCGCTGCGTAGGAACTGCTCAAATCTACATGCAAAATGCCAATCTTCTAGCTTTTATAGTTTCCGAGATCTCAGCGTTCATACGGACAGACAGACAGACAGACGGACAGACGGACAGACGGACATGGCTATATCGACTCGGCTAGTGACCCTGATCAAGAAAATATATACTTTATAGGGTCGGAAACGCTTCCTTGTAGCTGTTACATACTTTTGCACGAATACAATAACGGGTATAAAAACACCAAAGTTATGGCTTTTCCGATCGTTCAGTTATATGGCAGCTATATGATATAGTGGCCCGATCCGGCTCGTTCCGACTTATATACTACCTGCAATAGAAAGACAACTTTTGGAAAAGTTTCAAGCAGATAGCTTTAAAACTGAGGGACTAGTTTGCGTAGAAACGGACGGACAGACGGACATGGCTAGATCGACTCTCCTGGTGATGCTGATCAAGAATATATATACTTTATAGGGTCGGAAATGTCTCCTTCACTGCGTTGCAAATGGGAAATGGCAGAAATATTTGTGAAAATAGGTAACATTTTATTATATAAAAAAAAAAATTTGGAATCAATACTAACTAAACCAGGAACAGCGTACGCAACCTTTGAAATTTTACATTTTTGAAGTTCTAATGAATGCCAGTCAATCAAAGGAAGATGAAATGACAGTGCAGCACAATGCAAAGCCGAATCATTATTTCGGACATCCCTTTTAATTAAGGCTTTTTCTGCCCGACCGCACACCATCGTCCCGCCCCCTGTCAATCCAGTGCGAAACAGGCTTAAACCGCAAGAACCGTTTTAAGCTAATTTCCCTCGGTCCCAGATTTAATGGCTAAAAATCAATTTAATGCCAGTTACGACGTGGCTCAGTGGAAGTCTTTCAGTCAAGAAAGGGAACTGTGACAGCTGCATTAGCCACTGAAGGCATGTGAAAGGATCCTGCAAAAGGCCTTGGGGGATTACTCGACTCCAAGGTCACCAGCTTAGGCTGATTGATTGGACCTTTTGTGCAGGCAATAATTGTGTTCGGACAACAGGGCATCTGGCGTTTAATATTGCGCATTAGCTTAGCTCTGTGCCGATAAAATAAACGATTTATGGTATTAACCCCATTATAGTTTTATAGTTATTAGCATGTAGGAACAGCAAAAAAGAAATAAGTATACATTTCAATTGAAAACGTTTCAGTAAAGCATTTGTATTATCCATATTCATAAGATCATAAGGTAACGAACACTGGTTCTTCTATTAATTTATTTTGTTTTAAATATTCATAAACAAATTCCCTAAGGTACCTTTGAAACAAGTTTTTTTTTATCAAATTCATGAAATTAAAATTTAAAATTTTTTTCTCTGTACATTTAATTATTGCACAAGTGGGAAAAGCCGCAGCTATTTTAAAGAGACAGCCCCACGCGGTGAAAATCAATAGCACAAGTTCATGGAAAATGCGGAACTGGCTGCGAATAAATAAAAATACAACCCGTCACAGAAACGGAACTAAAACAGAAGCAGAATGGAATAGTTTCCCCAGAGAGTGTACGAAACGGCACATGTAATATAGAGTCTAAAAAACCAACCCAGTCAGGGTCAAATGGCCACCAACAAGCCGCAACATGCGAGCCTCTGATATCTGATACAAGGGGGTTCGCATATAGATATGGCGCCGTCTGGTCATCCAACAACCAGGGGCAGTGGGGGATTTGGGTTTGCTCTTCACTTTATAAACAATGTCGGCAAATTGAATATTTCATGGGAAAGCCTTTTAATGGATACAAGTGCTGGCTCTTAGCCGAGATGAGTAGATAAAATGGGTTTTGTTTAACTTCCAGGAATGCAGAAAGTTTACTGCTTCACAGATCTCACAGAATGGGGTGCCGTGAGCTAATGGTGTTGCTCACAGGTACACGGAAAATAGCGTGGCTTCCAGGCTCTGACTAATTAAAATTTTAAATCGGATAAGTATGCTCCAAAAGGAAAATGGAAAATGTGTTTACTTGGACAGTATGGATAAAATGATAAACGAATCGAAAACGCAATCAAAAGTATATTTGATATTACCCTAATTAAAGCAAGTTAAATGGTTGTATTCATTATTTGGAGCTACATTCATTTACAAACCTATTATAATCGTATACATTAATATTGAAAATTAATTAGAGGATTTTTGAAGTCTTGCATCAAACAGTGGCACAATTAACCAAATTCTGTACTCAAGCCCCTTAAATTTGGCCACCAAATATATTTACATATATACATAGATATGAGAATTCGCTTTAGAGAGATGCCTAAAATTTTGTGTGGCAGGCATTTCAACGAGAATGCCAACTGCAAACTGGGCCGCAACCGCATTTCTAGACCGAGAGCCCAGGGGCCCGAAATGAATCACAACACGCAATTTAGCTCAAGTTTGGGCCACATTCTCTGCACTAGACAATTGCTTGATGACTCTCTTGAACTTCCACGCCCCTTTCTGTGGCAGTGTGCTTGTGTCAAGGTCATGGAAATTATCTAGCCGCGAATGAAAAAACAATTATGCACGCGAATGTATAATGCAGATCCTTCAGAGAGCGTTTATGAAGTACTTATGTGCGAGCGGAATGTCGACTATAAAATGCATGAAATTTCACCCGAGGCGGGCACACTGGGCGTATGCGTAATCGCGGGCATTAAGCATACGCCGCGTGGGCTAGGCTTATGGCATTGCTGTGGCTTATTTATTTTCGATGTGACCCAGCCAGCTCCTCTGTGGCATTGAATTCCTGTCCACTGTTTTTCCCCAGCGAAGCGTGCACAAGTGTCTCATTTGTGTGGCGACTATTTTTACTAATTTTCCTGTTTTCTCTTTATTTTTTGCCCCTTTTTCAGAACGACTCTGGCGACTCGTGTCACCTGCGAATTGTTGTGCTTGGCGGCCAGTCGCTAGCCAAAAAGGATATATTTGGCGCCAGGTAAGTGAATCGGCTGCCAATTATATCAGATATAATTAAAATGTATTCTTTTTCCCACAGCGACCCGTATGTCAGAATCGATTTGAACACAATCGTCGGTGATATTAATATTGACTCTGTTTTGACGAAAACCAAAAAGAAGGTAAGCATAATACTCCTGAAAGCATTAACCCATCTTAAGTTAGGTGACAAGGGCAACTTTGGAGGAGTTTATCTTATCGATTATGTTTAAAGCTATTTGCCACATTGTTTGGAAGGTGCAACAGTAGCTTTGGGAATTCTTTCTGGCCTTGATGGCACTATTACAAATGTAAACCACACAATGCTTATCAATATCGTGTGGGCTCAATGACTAAGGCTTAGATATCTACCTTGGCAATCTTAGACATGTATATAAACAGTTCCAAGGAGCAGAGAACCTCTTGAGATAACTAATTTTTAGACTTTTGTATGGTTTGAATTAAGTGCGGAATTCAAGTATTTATGAGTTCCTTTTTTTTCTAGCAGATGGGAGATAGATTTTAATAACTTATAATTAAATATATACCTCCTCTTTTATAAAAGCCATCGAATTTGCGAAATTTTCATTTTTGTACTCATCCTTCTCTATTATAATTCCTAAAGATAACTTTTGTGCCATTTTAACAAACAAAACATTCGACCTCGAATTCAAGGAAAACTTATATTAATTCCGTTTACCTCTTACCCCACAGACCCTGAACCCAATCTGGAACGAAGAGTTCATATTCAGAGTAAGTTAACTAGCAAACCGATATAATAATTCGCCCCCATCCTAATTGATTGTTCTTGCCTCGTTTGACCAGGTTAAACCGTCTGAGCATAAGCTTGTATTTCAAGTATTTGACGAGAATCGCCTGACACGCGACGACTTCCTGGGAATGGTCGAGTTGACTCTGGTGAATCTGCCCACCGAGCAGGAGGGCCGCACCATCGGCGACCAAAGCTACACTCTGCGCCCGCGCAGGTCAGTAGGGTAGGTTTATATCGTTTGCAGTTTGATTTTGTTTCTTTAATTTCAGTTAATTTACACACAACTACATAGCCATAAAATCTAGTTATGTACCAACAAAAAAGTCTAAGACAAGCTCAATGAATATTTTCCTATAACCAAAACTAAGGCAGAATTATAAATGTGATAGAGATTGGTGAAGGAGCTAAGATCTTGATTATCTTGTCCCCAACCTGTAGAGACTCTGTTGTAGTGCTATAGAGTTTTCGTGTTTTTTGCTTAACGGCCTCACCTTGTTTATTGTTTATCACCACGCCCCTTCCGCCCAAGTGCAATCTTCGATTGCAATTATAATTTGCAAACGTATTCGACTTCATCGTAGTAGAACACCTAACTCACTCTTAGACTAGAATAGAATCGCTTTTCAATTGAATTCTCGCTGCTATTCACAACTTTAAGACCGCATGACACTGCAAGATACATTATGAAAAAAAATAATGAAGCCATTTGTGACTGCTAGTATTTGTTGGCCCTATTCTCCATTCAATACTTTACTAATTGTCATAACAGACACTTAACTACTTATATTGTTGACATTTAACTATTGTCTAATAGTTTTGTATAATTATATATCAATCTCAATTTACCTTGTAACCTGATAAAATATTTTTAAACTCTTCTAAAACAAACACATTTTTGAACCCTTGCTAAAGTGACTCACTCGCTTTCACACCGGAAATATTCGATTACAGTTTTTTTGATTAAGTTCGATGAGTGTTTTCGACAAATTGCGTTCTTATCATCACATCATATTAACGAGGGACAGTTATTAAAGTGAAAGTGGCAGTGGCTTTAAAGTTGTGAAACGCTTCGTAATCCATAGTATTCAACTTGTATCTGCATTCGTGTTTTTGCTGTCGAGTTTATTTTTAGTTAACGCTTAGTATAATACTTATTGTTTTTAACTCGTGTGCGTTTGTGTGTCTCCCATGTGGGCCTGGTATTGGTGGTGGTGCACCTGTTTTGTTGACTCATTAATATTTACCTTATCCCCTGCCCCCGCCCAGCAGCGCCAAATCCCGCATCAAGGGCACCCTGCGCATCTACCACGCCTTCATCCGGGAGACGCGGGAGCAGAGCGAGCCATCTAGCGACAACAGTGATGGCGGGTGGGAGCACGTGGACGCCACCAGTGCCGTTGAGACCTCAGCCCAGCCGGTGAGTATCCTCGTTCCCTTTGAAATGCAAATAATAATCGTGTGGCATTCCCCCTTGACAGTACCCCTATAATAATAGCTTTCCTACTGGCGGCCACGATGCCCTGCCCGCTGGCTGGGAGGACCGCCAGGATGCCAATGGGCGCACTTACTATGTGAATCACACGGCAAGGACAACGCAATGGGAGAGGCCTACTATGTAAGTTGGAAGGGCAATGAGTTTAAATCATCAGAAACCTTTACCTGATTTCGCTTTCTACTTTTTTTAAACAATTTTTAACAATTAGTTCATTTAAACTTGTTGAGATGTTAAAGTTAGTTAGTTAGTTATATAGGTAAAAAGCGTTTAAAATAGTATAGTAAACTAAACATATTACTTTAAAATCTTCTCTCTGTGAAAATCGTTTATTTCTTAATTGAGGTTGCATCTTATTAGTGTTTAACTTTCCTTTCACTAATCATTATAATCTTCTTGCAGCTTAACAAGCAACAGTAGTCAATCCACTGACCAGTTGGCCTCGGATTTCCAGAGACGTTTTCACATCAGTGTGGACGAGACGGAGTCCGGACGTACGGCGGTAAGTGAAAATGCCTTGATCTGGGATTCCTTAAACGGGGTTATATTTAAGTTGGTTAACCACCGGGAAACTTTGTAAAATTCAATAAATGTATAATCAAATATTTATAATTATTTATAATGCATGTGTGATGAGCAATTGACTTGATTTTTGTGCATGATCTCCTTATTTCAACATCAAACACAAACCCATTACACAATGCACACACCCAACGCACTCGAACCGACTAACCCAATAATAAAACCACAAGACACAGAGGTCGAGGAACGCTGCTCACATGGAGACTCTGGTCAGCGAGGGGAGCAGCGAGGATGAGGATGTGGCTGAGAATGGGGAGGAGAATATGGATCTCATGAATAATCAGGCCAATTGTCTGCACTGCGGCGAAATGCATGACAATGAGGAAGCCGAGGAGGATGGAGGTGATGAGGAGCAGGATGATGCGGAGCTGCAGGCTCCCACTCCTGACCCAGATCAGACCTCAGCCACATTCCAAAGCGCGCAAACTTGTGATATACTCGATAGGAACTTGTACCTAAGACGCATATTCGTAATTTCAAAGTTTCTGACTACGATTAAGGTTATCGCTAGTTCCTAGATAAGAAATTAGTCGTATGGGCACTCTTTTTTAAGTTTCTAAGCAAGATGCATAGTGCTGTAGAAACTTGCACCATTTCGTTGTTAGGTTTTCCTTAAATCCACTTAGAATTGTAGATTTATAGTCGTCTAGTGCCCATCATCATTAACCAATCCCTGTATATACGTAGGACACCATCAGTCGAAATAGCTTAGAGGACAATAACAATGTTGCTGGCTTAGCAACTACACCAACAACAGATGCAACCACACTAACAACGATCTCACCACCCAACACACCAACGAACAACAATGGATTTCCCATGCAAAATGGCCAAGAGGGCGTACAGACAGATCCAACAGTGCAACATACCAGGTTAATATCATTCGCTAAGCGTTAGCAGCTTCCATCCAAAACGATCCCCAAGCCTCCTGTCGGTATTTTGTCCGTACCCAAAAAGAAACCCACTTCCCGAGGCTCCTTCACTTCGCAGCCAGCTTCTTAATCGCCATCCGTTGTGCTCTATCTTTCATGAACTCAGTTTTGTTTACAATTCCCTGCGACATCCCGTCGCCCATAGGCAGCCCGAAATCTCAGCAACCAGTTTGCAGAACGACCTGCGACCGGTGCGGGAGGCGCCCGGAGTGCCGGATGTAGCTTTAACCAACCTGTTGACGCGGCGGGCCGTGGACAACATGGCCGGCGGTATGGAACGACAGCAGCAGCGGCGGCGACAGCAGATGCAAATGCACATCCAGCAGCATCAACAGCGGCAACAGCAACGACAGCAGAATAGAATATTGGTTAGCAAGTCTTAAGCACACATTCATATCCCAGAGAAAAAAAAACAAACACCCACATCATTCATTTAACTTGTAGCTTGATGTGGATCATCGTCAGCAGGAGCTGCAACATCAGGGGCGACACCAGCAACTTGAATTACACCAGCAACATCAGCCATTGGTCAGCACATTGCCATTCATACACGAATCTTTGCACTTGTAGTCTAAAAAACTTGGTTGTCTTCTCTTGTTAGTTCGTGTCTGTTGGAAAACCTAAACTATTTGGCGTCTCAAAATCTGTCAGTGTTAGAAAAACTCACGTTTCTGTGTTTGTTTTGTGGCATAGGGTATTTCAACCGGCGGTGCGGTAAGCAAACCCGAGTCCATCCCAATTGCCCCTTAACATCTGTGTGTCTATGTTGCATGTTATCCCAAGTTACCAATTAAACTATCCCTCATACCGCTTTAATTTGCAGCTTCTTGTTATAATAGTTTCAGCTAAGACCTGCGTTAATCAATTAGTTTTAATCTTTTCTATGTTTGCATGTGCCCCTTGATTTGTGTTCGTATAGATTTTTCAATTTGAGAATTTAATTTTAATTTCATCAACACTTCTTTTCTGTTTCTTCCAAAACCAACAAACAAAAAATATTTACGCAATGCATCCATATACATTTATGAATAAAATAATCAATCCACCAACGACTAGAATGAAGACACCGATCACACAGACAGCCACAATCCCTCCGACATCTCAGCTCCGTCCACACGACGCAATTCCGAGGAAGACAACGCGGCTGTGCCTCCAATGGAACAAGTAATGTGGATTCCCCTCTTTCTTTTTGCCCATCCTTAATGCACACGAAAACGTAAATTGTGTTCGAGATACAATATCTGCATGTGCCAAGGATAATTTCCAAATGCATAGTAGGAAATGTGACTAATGTTGTGTGGTGATCTTGTCTTGCAGAATGCTGGTGGCGAGGAGGAACCCCTTCCACCGCGCTGGTCGATGCAGGTGGCTCCTAACGGACGAACCTTCTTCATTGACCACGCCTCCCGGCGGACCACTTGGATTGATCCGCGCAACGGTAGGGCCAGCCCTATGCCAAATCAGACGCGCCGCGTCGAAGACGACTTGGGTCCTTTGCCGGAGGGCTGGGAAGAGCGGGTGCACACTGATGGACGCGAGTTCTATATAGATCATAGTAAGTTAATTACGGGAATAATTGGGAAATATGTTTTGAAACAAATGCTTCTGTAAAAGTTAATACTAAGCTGTTTTTGTCTTACCTTACAATTAATTCAAATAAACTCTCTTTGCAGACACGCGAACCACGCAGTGGGAAGATCCACGTTTGTCAAATCCAAACATTGCCGGACAGGCCGTGCCCTACTCTCGAGATTACAAGCAGAAATACGAATATTTCAAGAGTCATATTAGGAAGCCTGTAAGTATTTCAAAATCTACGTCTTCTGCTTTGGACATTTTTTTAACTTGAATCTTGGTTTCAGACAAACGTACCAAATAAATTTGAAATACGTATTCGTCGTACATCGATTCTGGAGGATTCGTACAGAATTATTAGTTCGGTGACCAAGACCGATTTACTAAAGACCAAATTATGGGTAGAGTTTGAGGGGGAGACTGGCTTGGGTAAGTAAACACGCTTCAATCGGTATATAACCACTAAATGACATGTATTTGGATTTCAGACTATGGTGGCCTCGCTAGGGAATGGTTCTATTTACTATCGAAAGAAATGTTTAATCCGTACTATGGACTCTTTGAGTACTCGGCCATGGACAATTATACGCTGCAGATAAACAATGGCAGCGGTTTGTGCAACGAGGAGCATTTGAGTTACTTTAAGTATGAATTTTAACTCTAAAAGAAAAGCCTGGTTTTAAGAGTTGGTTTAATATCTCAGATTCATTGGCCGCATTGCGGGCATGGCTGTGTATCATGGAAAGCTGCTGGATGCCTTCTTCATTCGTCCATTCTACAAGATGATGCTCCAAAAGTCCATTGACCTGAAGGACATGGAGTCAGTGGACACCGAGTATTATAACTCGCTCATGTGGATCAAGGAGAACGATCCGCGCATCCTGGAACTAACTTTCTGCCTGGATGAGGATGTTTTCGGCCAAAAAAGCCAGCACGAACTTAAGCCGGGCGGCGCCAACATAGACGTGACCAATGACAACAAGGATGAATACATTAAGTGAGTGAGCAAAGCAATTCAAGTGACATCAAATGTTAAAAACGAAATTTCAATCCCTTTAGGCTCGTTATTGAATGGCGTTTTGTGGCGCGTGTCAAGGAGCAAATGTCGTCCTTCCTAGACGGCTTTGGGTCGATTATCCCCCTGAATCTTATTAAGATATTCGACGAGCACGAGCTGGAGCTGCTGATGTGCGGAATACAGAACATCGACGTGAAGGATTGGCGCGAGAATACTCTGTACAAGGGCGACTACCATATGAATCACATGATAATCCAGTGGTTCTGGCGGGCGGTGCTATCTTTCTCTAACGAGATGCGTTCGCGTCTGCTTCAGTTTGTGACGGGCACGTCGCGAGTGCCCATGAACGGTTTCAAGGAGCTGTATGGCTCCAATGGCCCCCAGATGTTCACCATAGAGAAGTGGGGCACACCCAATAACTTCCCAAGGGCACACACCTGGTGAGATGCGGGTCGATTGGGGGAAACACCCGCCAAGGCTAAAAGAAAATGTTTCGCTAACGAGTTTATTCCACAGCTTTAATCGCCTGGACCTGCCGCCCTATGAGGGATACCTGCAGCTGAAGGACAAGCTGATCAAGGCCATCGAGGGCAGCCAAGGATTCGCTGGAGTTGATTAATAACACCGGCAACGGGAGTGCAAGCGAATGGCTTTGGCTGGAGGTGCAGCAGCAGTTTCAGCAGCGCCAGGAGGAAGAGCAGCTACAACGATTACACACATCACAAGAACCACAAGATCAACAACAACAACGACTTGAGCAGCAGCAGCAGCAGCGAAATCAGCGGCATAACCGCAACCTCATTGCATTCACTTGGAATAGCACCGCCAGCAGATCGTGTACTTATTTGTTCGTTTGCTTTTGTATTATAATCATTTTTGCTAGTTTAGTGTTATTTCGTATGTATTTTATCTAGGCGCCAAAACTCACACACAACGCATACAACTTATACAAGCTGAGGAGAGACGGATCCAAATAAAGCTGCGCATGGTGAACCACAAGAACCTAACAAAGAGTCCAAATTATCTATAAATATATTTATTACATTGCCGACAATTGTAAAAAGTTGAGAACGTTTTACAAACTATGTGCGAAGAGAGAAATCCAAACTAACTATTAAATCTATAGAGTCAAAGTATATCTTGTATGTATATGCAGAGATACCTTTTTATAATTGTTATTTTTATGCGCTATTCATCTATACATGCCCACAGCAAATACCTAAAGGCGAGAAAAAAATATAAAAACTATAGCAAGTTAATATTTGTAATCTGATGGTCGCATATTTTTAAACAAATTAAATTTTCTATTCTGTATAACTGTATGTGTATTCATAATAATTATAATGTTAGTCCGTAAAAGTCGCTCTTTACTATTAAATAAAAAGACAAACATTAAATATATATGAAAAAGAAATCTAATATAAAAAAAATACAATCAATGTATATTGTATAAATGTTAATTATATACAGACACACATTCCAAATGTTTATTGCGAAAGAGAAACTCTGCAAAAGGAGGCCTATATGATAATATGATTATTGACCTATCGGAAGTCTATCAAAATTAAATTTTAAAATCAAATTAAGAAATGAAAGAGAGGACTGGAACTTCTGTTTCAAAGTCAGAGAGCGACACTGAGAAAAAATACCAATAAAAATGGTTACAGCTAAGTAATTAAAATCTGGACTTGTTTTTCAATTAAACAAGTTAAATTTGTTTCGGTTTTTTTTTATTTAAGATGTTATTGGTTTAGATCAAGCCAGTACCTTAAAATTGGCTTTAAATATTAGACTATTTCGAAAAGCTTATAAAAGTATAAGGTTTATATTATAGACCCTCCAATAACCCATGAAACACAAGATTTGTATGTTCGAAAATATCAGAATATTTTAATCACAGCGAACATCCTTAGTTTAGATGCCGGTGTGTTCCTTGATCCAGTCCAGGTAGCTGGTGGTGCGGGTGAAGACAGCGGGGTACTCCTTCTCGCAGCCGGCAGAGGATCCGAAGGAGGTGAGACCGACCTGGACCTTGTCGGAGGCCAGCACCAGAGGGCCACCGGAGTCGCCGTTGCAGGTGGACACGCCGGCGGGGGTGGACACGCAGATGTTCGAGTCGCGGATGGTGGAGTAGTAGGTGCGCTTGCAATCGCTGTTGGAGATGACCTTCATGTGGGCGTACTGCAGGTGGGCGGCCACGCCGCTGGCAGAGTCGGAGGTGCGGCCCCATCCGGAGGCGATCACCTCATCGCCATCATAGGAGGAGTAGCGGGACTCGCGCTTGGGCAGCTCGACGTTGTGGATGGCGCTGCTGTACTCCACGCGGGGAATGCGGATCAGGGAGATGTCGTTCCTCAGGGTGCGGCTATTCCAGTCGGCGTGGATGATGATATCGTCCTTGCTAACATGGTGCTTGACCTTGGGGCTGGAGCGGATGGTGCTGCCCAGGTAAACCTCGACGGAGTCAACGCTAAATAGTAGGATTATTGATGGTTAGCCAGGATAAGAAATCCATAATCCAAAGTCTGTGGCAGCTTACCCATCAGTGCAGTGAGCGGCGGTCAGAACCCACTCGTTTCCGATCAGGGAGCCACCGCACCAGGCAGAGGAGGAGCCGATCTTCAGCGAGAGTCCCACCTGGTAGGGGAACTGGTCGGTGCGGGCGTCCTCACCCTGAGTAATGCGACCACCGGGTCCGTCCAGAGACCGCAGGGCGGATCCGGAGGCGTAGGCCAAAGCCAAAGCGAAAACAATGAGAACCTTCATGTTGGAGCTACCTATAGAAAGTATGTCCCTCTCGGACTCATCCCACCGCTTTTATAGCCGGGGCAGTCCCAATCAAGTGCCGCCATCATCACTATCTGATCTTCGGACACCTGCTCAAGTGGCCTGGTCTCCTTGTGTAATGGTAGTGCCCAGCTATCGACATACGCCATTCAAGTTGATCTGCGCTACGCATCGCTCGTGCTTGTTGAAAATGCTTAGATAGGGGACCGTGAATCGTCAAAAAATCTTCCCAGGCCAAAGATAGTATAACAGGGAAACAATCTGCAAAACTGGGGATTTTTCCAAAGTTCAATAGATAAGTACGTGAGATCTTTAAAATTTAATCGAGATTATAATAATTATGACAGAAACAGTTAAGATAGTAAACGTGCCTTAAAATTAACCCTTAGTTGGGCCGAAAATAATTCGAAATAATTATAATACATTTAGGGTTCAAATTAATTTTGACTACCTATGCTCTACCTTACACTTTTCCTTTCCTTATAAAAGTAAAGAATTGTAAGATTTAAAGCTTCTACGAATTAGATTTAGATTAAGAGAATTAAACAGCAATCATTTAGAAGTATACCATTTTGAAATCGGATTTTTGTAAGAAAAGTTATGGGTTTAGGAACTTCTAAGGCTTTAGGTCACTTTTCGGCAAAGTCACTTTTCCAAAATTTGAAAAGGGGTTAGCTCATAAAAATTACTAACAATCGACCCCAAAATACAAACCAAGCTGAAAATACAGATTTTTAGAGAATTAAACCACAATCATTTAGAGGTAAGAAAAGGTATGGGATTTGAAATTAAGGTTTTTGGCCACTTTTCTGCAAGCCCAATTTCCGAAAATTTGTTTCATTATTAACTTGACAATCAAATGCTTCCCTCACGCTTAATTAGCTTACAAATATTTGTATTTGTTTTCTGACCGTAGCAGTAGGGTTTTCCCAAGCTGAGCTTTCTAATAGATTTCAGCTGAACCGGACCTTTTTGACCGGCCGGCAACAGATAAGGTTTTATAGGCCTCAGAATCCGCTGTGAGTGAGTCTTTATAGATCTCAGAAATCCCTGAGACTTTTAGTCAAAACTGTCATTTGGAAGCACTAAGATGCGTGGAGCTATTGCAGTAATTTTGGTCGTCGCCGTTCTCCTGATTTCGGAAAACGAAGCAGCTGTTGCACTTGACATCTTCATTGATCCTGCCCATCCTGGAAAATGCGTCCTTGAGGGTCTTATTTTAGACGGTGGTCAAACTGCCCGCAACCCAAACAAGTGTGAGCGAATTTTAGCATAGCATAGCACAGATTCAATCGTGAGTTTAAGCCTTTCAAATTCATTATATAGCAAATGGATATAATGTATTTAAATTTATTTAGATGCGGAGTTTATGCACTTGGTCCAGGACAACAATTCGGAGAATACTTGGCTCCAAACGCTGATTATCCCGCCTGCTGTGAACGTAAAGTTATAAGCGTGTAACAACGAAATCGAAATGTTCAAATTTCAACACAAATAAATGTAAATCTAAAATCTAGAAGGAAAATAGAAGTAAAGAATTTATACAATTTATTTTTGATTTCAATGCCAACTAATCGGATATCGAGTTTAAAGAAGTATAACATTTCAAGCTTGGACGAATTAGATTTGGATTAAGAGAATTAAACAGGAATCATTTAGAAGTATACCATTTTGAAATCGGATTTTTGTAAGAAAAGTTATGGGCTTAGGAACTTCTAAGGTTTTAGGTCACTTTTCGGCAAAGCCACTTTTCCAAAATTTGAAAAGGGGTTAGCTCATAAAAATGACTAAAAATCGACCCAAAAATACAAACAAAGCTGAAAACACAAATTTTTAGAGTATTAAGCCACAATCATTTTGAGGTATGCCACTTTGAAATCGGATGTCTGTAAGAAAAATCGACCCAAAAATAAAAACTAAAGTGAAACACACAGATTTTTAGTGAATTTAACCACCATCATTAAGAAGGATGTCTTTAGGAAAAGTAATGGGCTTAAAAGTGCAGGTTTTAAGTCATTTTTCTGCAAAACGATTTTTCGAAAATTTGGCAAGGGGTCGATCGGTTCTTTGGCAGCTCTATAATATAGTCATCCGATTTGAATAAAATTTGTATATAATTAAGAAACAACTTAGTTTTAATATTATTCACTTTTTATACCCTTGCAGAGGGTATTATAATTTTGGTCAAAAGTGTGCAACGCAGTGAAGGAGACATCTCCGACCCTATAAAGTATATATATTCTTGATCAGGATCACCTCCTGAGTTGATATAGCCATGTCCGTCTGTCCTACTGTCCGTCTGTCTGTAACTTTGGTGTTTTTAAAGTTAGGAAGTTGGGATTTTTTTAAGTATTAAGAATGCATCATATGAATAATTTTGAAGAATATAATTTACAGAGTATTTATTCTGCAAGGGTATATCAACTTCGGCTCCGCCCGAAGTTAGCTTTCCTTTCTTGTTTTCATTGTTCCAATAGGAGCTCTATGATATAGTAGGCCGATCCGGCTGTTCCGACTATATACTAACATACACTACATGGAACACTTGATATTTTTATCAGTAACAGAGGTCTATAATTTAAACTGCGTCACGGTTTCAAATGCCATTCTGTTAACTCCCCACCCTTCCGAAGTAAAGGAAGTAATCGCAACTAAAATGCTCAACATTTAATTTAATTGCAGTGCCCAGCACTGTTTGATCAGCAATCGAGAGCCACTCTATGCATAGACCACCCCGCTCACCTCGCCTATCCAATCCAAATAGGCGGTGACGCGTGAGAAAACTGATGGAAAGCCCTTTGTGCAGCCCGACTTTTTGCCATATGAAGTAATGCCAATCAGAACGTCTGTATTCAGCTCGGGATCTGCGTAGACCAGGGGTCCGCCAGAGTCGCCGTGGCAGGTGGACTTGCCGCTGGTGGTGTCCATGCAGATGTTGCTCGGTTTTATGTTGGTGTAGCAGAACCCACAGTCTTCGTTGGATTCCACAAAACGTACCACATAGCGCAGGGTATCGGATAAGTCAGCGGATTCTGTGTATGAGGATTTTTCATGATCAGCAAATGGTTACAAATGAAATATATATATACATTCTATAGTAACATCATATATAGTTTTGGGAAAGTTTAATTTAAATTAAGCTCTGTTTACGCTTTAAAATGTTTTCATTAAATTGTAATTATTTTTGCAATATGCTATATTTTAACAAGCAAATTAATCATAACTAATCTCTTGAAATTTCGGTTTGTTTAAGATTCTTTGTGCTTCAAAGATTTTTTTGAAGGCTTTTTGTTTTTTTCTTGCGTGTAATCGAAATAGGTAATATTAATAATCTCATATAACAATTCTTACCATCATTCATGCGTCCCCAACCGGAAGCAGTGGCCGGAACGTAGTCGTAATTAAGATGGCTGGATGAGATTCCTGGCAGCTGGATGGGCCTTATGGAATCACAAAGAATTGCGTCCTCCGGTAATCGTAGCACAGCGATGTCGTTCTCCAGCGTTTCGCACTTCCAGTCATGGTGGATGTGCACTTCAGGATTAGTCGTTCGGATAAGTTGTCGGGGTGCCAGTCGCTGCACTCCACCCAAGTAGTAAGTGATAGCGACAGCCCTGAAAGAGATATTCATACCAAATTAGTATATTCAGTAAGTAGTAGTACATAGTAAACCTCCTACTTTTCAACACAGTGTGCTGCTGTAAGCAGATATCGCTCAGAGATCAAACTAGCTCCACACCAGCTAAACAAGTCGTTGGGTTCTTCAATGCTGAGACCCACTTGATAGGGAAACTGATTAATCCCGGCCAACACTCCGCCAGCAATTCGGCCATCGATGCCATGACCCAAATCCAGACTGGAAATCGACCTCCCCTGAATAAAGATCAGCAGGGCAACTAAAAACGATCTGGTTTGCATGTTATTCGGACTCCACTATTTGCACCACTAACGCAAACCTCCTAGTGTAATGGCGATTTATGGGCCCCATCAATGGATTAATGTTAAAGACGTACGAATTCCTGATTACGGATTATCATTTCGGACTGATCTGAACGCCACTTGATTACTGAACTAATTTTAAATACATATGTATTGTTTTCATTTATCATGGGGCACCGATAGGAGCACTTCACAAAAAGGATTGTATTCCAGATTTGGTAAACTCCATAAAAGCTCTTCGAAAAGACTGTGGTTTCTCTCATAAATGGGTCTTGTGAAGTAGAAATGATAAATATTCTTTAAAACAGAAGAACAATAGTATTTCCATTTAAAAAGTTTTTACTTTAAAAAAAATATAAGTTAAAAAAATTTGAAAAAACTTGTATAAAAAAGCTTCTTTATTTACGATCTGAGTCCAAAAGTATGTTATTTCTTTAACTAAAAACTTGTAGTGAGCATTACAAAAATAGATAACAATATCAATAGATAATAATATCAGTACTGCTATCAAAGCAATTGACAAAGTATAATTTCCGAAAGTTTACGTTATTCCCATGTGGTAGTTAAGGAGTTGGTTTGATTATTCCGGGCCTTTAATGCCCTACTCAGACCGTAAATAAATTTAAACCTCACGTGCTGAGTTTAGTTAACCAAGACCATGACTCATTGGGGGCCAAATTCAAGTGAATTGTTTTTTGTGTGACCGTGGCAATAATCCCAATAATCACGGGTCTAGGGTGCTTGATGCTTGAGGGTGTCCTTATCAGAGATAACATGTGGTTGGGGGCTCAACTCTTTCCTATATAACCATGAAGCGGTCTCTGTTACCCCAGTTAATTTTAAATCGAGGTAAAATGATGAAACTTGTCCTCTGTGTCCTGCTGGCCTCATCTTGTGGGGCTGTTCCTTTTCTGACCGATGTGGAGCCATTTATTACCAATGGAGAGCTGGCCGAGGTGGGTCAGTTTCCCTACCAGGCTGGTCTGAACATTTCCTTTGGGAATTGGAGCACCTGGTGCGGCGGCACCCTGATCTCGCATTACTGGATAGTCACAGCGGCGCATTGTATGGATGGGGCTGAATCCGTAACGGTCTATTTGGGTGCCATCAACATCCACGATGAGACTGAGGAGGGCCAGAAGAGGATCGTGGTGCAGAAATCGGGGATTATCGTGCACTCCAACTTTACGGCCAGCACGGTGGTGAATGACATCTCGCTGATTCGGCTACCCACCTTCGTTAGCTTCACCGATCGCATCCGGGCGGCCAATCTGCCGCGTCGCTTGAACGGCGTCTTTCCCACCTACGAATCCGTGCGAGCCTTTGCCTCCGGCTGGGGAAAAGATAGCGACGCCTCCGAAATAGTGTCACCCGTGCTGAGGTACGTGGAGATGCCCGTAATGCCGCACGCACTGTGCCGGATGTACTGGAGCGGAGCCGTGTCCGAGAAGATGATCTGCATGAGCACCACCAGCGGAAAGTCCACTTGCCACGGCGACTCCGGCGGCCCGTTGGTCTACAAGCAGGGCAACTCCAGCTATCTGATCGGGTCCACCTCCTTTGGGACCTCCATGGGCTGTCAAGTGGGATTTCCGGCCGTGTTCACGCGCATCAGCAGCTACCTGGAGTGGATCTTGAAGCACATAATCGTCCACACCTGAAGTCTTTGGAACTTCCCATACATGACGTTTAAAATATCCACTATTAATTTGAGCTATGAAGACTTTGCTTTTAAGACATTTGATTAAATTCAAAATTTTGATCGCTGTTACAAAGTATGTGTAACTTCAATTATTGATATCTTTATACATTGTATTAGAACAAATCGGCTTATAGGAGTTCAACAATTGAGTTCAAGCCAATTGGAGTTAAAAACACTTCGGTTTTGGACCAATTTCTTAATTTAAAGGCAAAAGTTGACGTTGACCTTCTAGACTAGAACTGATCTGAAAAAAATTACCCAAAAATCCATAAAAAACTCAGTTAACTTAATTTTTTCCTGATTTTTTTGTTGTTTATTTTTGCGTTTTTATTGTTTTTGTTTAAAATTTTTGCCTGGTTTTGAAGATTTTTATTCGTGCCCTCGTGGGGCGTGCAAGTGGCGAGTAAATTCATATTCGAACGCACTACCAAATGATCCCAATGAAACCCGAAACTTGCACGCCATCCGACGGCGGGTTTTCCATTTGCTTTCTAAGTATGTACAAAAACTTAAGTTAGGAGGGGGCGAAGGGTGGGGGATGGGCTGGGGTTATGGGGCCAAGAATAAGTATGTAAAAGAAAATCTAAATCTTAGATGCAAATTACGCATTCGTTCGATCGAGAGCGGGCGAACGATCGATTAGAAAAACGGGTTTCTCGGGTTCCCAACTTAAAGTAAATATTTTTCGATTGTGTGTGGGTTGTGTGTATGAAGGTAGGTGTGGGGTGTTTAGAGCTATATATGCTTGCAGCTTAATGCAGTAGTAGAGAAATCGAATACGAATATACGAGTACGAATAGTTTTGAAAAACGCGCAACGTTCGCTTAACCTTTGCCTTAGTCGAAAATTACATAAAATTTCATTTCATTCTCATTTTCGCCTCGAATATATAGATCTTGCTTAATGTTCTATATGTCTAACTTTTGTTTTTCTTCTTCTAGCAATTTGTTAGTTTCGTTCGTTTAGCTTAGTTTGCTTGCAACGTTTTCGCTTGCATTTTACATAATTTTTAAACCTTTTTGTTTTCTTGCACAACAATTCTTGTTTTATTCAAAATTTTGTTTTGGTTTTTTTTTGTTTGCATAATTCGTTTTTGTTTTGGGGATTTTTTGTTTGTTTTTGTTTGGTTTTTTTTGTGGTACTTTGTTTCGTAATTCTATTTAAAAAATAAATTAAAAACAAATGAAAGCTACGTCAACGTTCCAGGCGATCTTGAAACATAATATCCTCCGCTGAAACAATCAGATCTGTTTAGATATCTTCATTGAAAATACACTACTGTATATATTGCTAAATGTGAAAAACTAATTTGAAAATTGGTTGGTAAACGGGACAATCATTCAAAAAAGGAAAGAAAAACTTTGCTAACTAAAGATAAACTTCTTCATTCATTTACTGATTAGCAACTATGTTTTTAATTAAATAATTTATTATGTAGTTTGGCGTCTTTAATTTTGAATCAAAGCGCTGGCTTTCTTTTCTCCCCTACAACAACTACTTGCTCCTGCTGTTTCTGCTTAATCTGCCTATGTGTTCCGTGTGGATTATTTTGAAGTTCTTACTCTGTCTGGCTTGCATTTAGTTGGGGCCGTAGTATTTAGTATATTTGCTAAGCGGAAGTCGATTCTATATATCTCTCGTTTTGTGTGAGTGTGTGTTTGTGAGTGGCTATATACAGCTTACAGTGTGTGTTACGGGTATTTGATTTGCTAACTTAAATGCTAGACGGCCATTTCTGCTCTCTGTGAATATTCTGCCTGTGTCTCGGATTCCGTTCGCCAACAACTCGCTTACAACTAGTCTGCGTTTTTTATGTATATGGGCGTATGTGTATGCTATTTATTATAATTATAAATTAATTAATGCTGTACAAAAGTTCTCGCGTTTTGAGTTTTGCGTTCACGTCCAGCCCTATCGCGATCTCCTCTCGATTCGACCCGCTATTCAGAGTTTTAGCTATGCGCTTAACTAAAGTGAATCAATGGTGCGTCTCACCAACAATCCTAACAACTAGCCTACCATCGGACTTACTGAGGTTCTATACATATATCAAAAAGAGCGACTTAAGGGCTAACCCGCTGACCGCTACCACTACTTCTTGTTGTAGACGGGCAGGGGGGGCGGTGCCAGCCCGGTGGCGGAGGGCGGTAACGCGCCGATGGGCGCCAACAGCATGGATGGTGGTACCGAAGTGGCTAGCGGAGCGCCCATTCCTCCGGTCACATTGGGTGCGGCGCCAGCACCGCCAAGGGGAGCAAAGACGCCGCCGGCAGCTCCATTGTATTTCGCATAGTCCTGGCTCTTGCTCTTCTTGCTCTCCTTGTCGCGATCCCGATCGCTGTGCTTCTTCTTGCTGCTGCCGCCGGAGCTGCTGCCACCCGAAGAGCTGTACCCACCAGCGGCCCCGTAGGGAGGCAGTCCTGGCGGAGCAGCTGCTCCAGATGAGGACGTCGTGGCAGCCGGGGGCAATCCATAGCCAGTAGCTCCCGGCAAGCCGGTCGCAGCCGAGTAGTTGTTGGGCTCAACCTTGTTCTTGCTGATCTTGAGCTTTATGGGAGCTGAAGCACCAGACTGGAGGCTGCCGTTGGGATTCTTTATCACCATTTTTAGGGGCTCATTGGCCAGCGAGCTGTCCTTGCTGCCGCCACTGCTGCTGCGATCCTTCTGCTTGTCCTTCTTATGCTTCTTGCGCTCCTCCTTCTCCGTTTTGTCCTTGGACTTGTCCTTCTCCTTGTGTTTGTGCTTGTCCTTCTTCTTTTTCTTCTCCGACTTAATGCTGCTTTCTTCCTTAATCTCCAGTTTGATGGGCATTTCTAGGTCCATGGGTGCGGGGCCACCCGCCAAACTGGTCATGGAAGAGACTCCCGGTTCCTTCTTGATCGTCGCCGGCGCGGGCATGGGCTCCAGCAGTTCGGCCGGAGGTTTCAGACCTGGCATAGTCAAGGAATCCGGTTTGAGGAGCGAGGCGTTAGACGGACACAGGCTCTCCTTTAGCAAGCTGCGCACCAGATCTGGCGTGGTCTCCATCCCATTGGACATATTCAAAGGCGTGTGCTTCTCCTCGTAACTGGGATACGTCGGCAAGCCAGTGTTATTGTCCAGCTTACGCAGCTTCTCGCGAGGCAAATTACTGCCGTCTAATTCATCCAGCTTGTTCAGTCCGTACTGGCTGCCCGAGATCTCGTTGGCCCGCTTCAGACTACCGCTCTCGTTGGGATTTGACAGCAGGTCCCCGCCATGGGGCAGCTGTTTCTTATGAGGCGGTAGCATAGGCTTTGATGACCCCGAGGCGGAGGAACTGCTCCCACTACCGCCCATCGGCATGGCAGGTCGATGCTTTTCCTTTTTGGTGGGCGTGAGTCGTTCCTTTTTGGGACTCTCTTTGTCGCGGGGATGGCTGTTCAGCTTGTAGTCGTGACCTGGTGGCGCAGGAGGTGGTAGCAATCCATTGAAGGGCTGCGGCTGTGATTGCGACAGGGGCTCCTTCTTGATGTCCGGCCACTCAGGACTAAAGAGCGAGTTCTTGGACTGTGACGAATGCGGAGGTGCCTCCACGGGCAACTGTTGCTGCTGAGGCTGCGGTACTGGCTGCTGCATGTGGCCATAGCTCTGGGTATAGGGCAACTGCTGCTCGAAGGGCGGCATGCCGTGGACGGTGGAGCCGGATTTGCTGCGATGCCCGCCATATCCGGCCGGAGGCAGTGGCTGGGATCCATTGCTGGCGCCGGGATACCCGCCACGCGACATCAACGGGTTAAGAGGGGCACTATTACTATACGGCGGCGGAGCGTTCGGATACATCTTGCTGCTCTGGGACTTATCCTTGGAGGACATACCCGAGGCAGATGAGTTGGAGGCGGAAGGATGAGGGGCCGGAGGCTGCTGCTGCGGCGGCTGAGGCTTGGAGCTCGAAGGCATCTTGTGGCTGCCGTGCGGAGGCATGCCCACGCCCACTGGCGGCATGCCGCGCGAGGATTTGTGATAGTCCACGGGCACAGAGGGTCGGCCTGGCTGCTGGCTCGACGATGAAGAGGACGAGCTGCCGCGCTGGCTGCTGCTTCCCGAGGAACTGGGTCCGCCGCTACTGTTTCGCTGGTGACTGGATGGCAGACGATTACTGTAGCCCGGCTGCTTGGACTTGTGATCTGCAATAAGAGCTTGTTAAAATATTTGATTTTCCCAGAGTAGTGATGTTTACTCACCAGGGTGCGCCTCGGGCGGCATGCCACCAGGGTAATTTGGCAACTTGTGATTGGAGGAAGACGACGAGGAGCTGCTGCCGGGCACTCCACCCACCGAGGACGAGCGGTGGTGGCTGCTATCCTGCCGTCTCTGCTGCGGTACCATCGCCGGTGGCGGCAGTAGCGATGATTGATCTCGCTCCCGCTCCCTTTCCCGTTCTCGATCCCGGTCCCGCTCCCGATTGTCGTTACCATTTAACAGCTCAGGCGGAGGCGTGATGTTCGAGTGATAGCCCTTCATCATCTCGGTGATCTTCCAGTCATCCTTCGGTTTGTCCTTGCTGTTGGCCGTACGGTTGCTGGCACCCTGGGCAATCGCCTTGATCGAGTTGAGCTTGGACTTCAGGCGGGCGGGACTCTTCTCGTAGATGGCGATGAACTCATCGGTCAGCTGCTTCAGCAGATCCAGCGAGACGGTCTTGTCCACGTAGTAGAACCAGTGCTTGCCCTCGGTCGACTGGGGGATCTCCCAGCGGGACCACTTGCAGGCCAGGTAAATGCAGAAGCAGGCCACCACTGTGGGGCGGTATTGCAGGCACATCGAGGTCAGATGCAGGCTGTACCAGGATGGTTAACTCAATTTAGTGGCGATTCGATTGGTAAAAGGCTAACAAATATTGTGTAGTTGGGTGAGTGTGTGCAGGGGGATTTCATCACTAACAGCACAGATTACGTCTTTGATTTTTAGCATGTATCTCCTTTATGGACATTATTTTCTACTAGTTTTTTAAGGATATTCACCAAGAAAAAATACAAAACTCAAAACAATGTTACCAAGAAAATTCCAAAACACATTTCTTATTATCGCGAATAATACATTTCCGCCACAATTTACTGTTTTGGCAGGTAATTCGAAAACAATTCAAGATTTTCCATATTCTAGCAGATGGGAAATAGTTTACGACGGTTTTTTCTTGAAATTTTCGCGTATCCCAAATTTACTATCTTCATTTTCTAGGAATGACAGCCCTTTCAACGACATTTGGCGGATTTCCCGATGCAGATTACAATGTTATTGCAGGCAACTGAAGATAATTACCGCGTGGGACCGGAAAAAAATACTGCCTTTTTGTTAAGATGCGGGATTTGTACAGCCTGACTGCCTGCTGCGATTAGGGACCGCGTGTCCTTGTCCGGTTAGTGACTTTCGAGTCCTCACCTTTTCTTTGTCTCGGGCCAGATACCTGGTCCTATTAGCTATAAGCCACAAAACAAGCAGGTAGAATATCTACTTTTTTGGTCACCATGGACTAAAACCTTTCCCCTGGCCAATTTCTGGCGAGGATTGGGCACACTCCTTACCCGCACACACACACACCGCATGTACCACTGCCGCATTCGCGTTGAGAGATAGATGATTTCTGGGAGGGATTATACCATAGAGTAGCGCATTGCTAGCCATACCTGTTCGAGGCCAAGAAGTACGAGGTCTGCGCCAGATCCTTGCATGCTAAAATATACCACAGTAATCAGTACCATCTGACATGTGAGGGGGACATGGCTTGGGTCGGATGGTGGGTGCCTACCTTTGACCAGCTGGCAGGTGCGCACCACATGCGTGTGCGGATGATCGATGGCCACATCGAAGCCCAACGTCTGCAGCAGCACGTTCTCGTTGAAGACAAGCTCCTGGGCGAGATCGGCGTAGTTCTGCTCGGTGGTCGGCGGCAGGCACTTGTTGGCGGCCCGTATGACATGCTCCAGCTTACGCGGCTGCTCCTCCACCTTCGCGGCCAGAAAGAGACTCGCCGACGCCATGGAATTGCGATGAAAGTGGGTGAACGAGTGGAAGGCGTAGAACCGATGCATGTAAACAATGGCCGTGTTGATGCAAAGCTGGGAGACCTGGAGACGTTGGCCCATCTCCTGAATCAGGTAGGCGGTCATCTGGCGGTACTGCAGCTCATCGTCGGCCTTGATCCCGCATCGTCTGCTGGGCGAATTGGCCAGCTGCTCGTTGGTGAAGTACCAGATCTTGTCCTTCTCGAATGGCAGGTTGTTGTTAGAGCTGGGTGGAATACCACTGGCGGCGGCTGCAGATGAAGAGGATGAGGCGGTGGCCGCCGGGGGCATTGGTGTGGCCAGGAGACTCATTTTTGAGAGTGGGGAAGGGCTCTGCTCCGTTTCACATGCAACCTGCGCCTCAGGATTAGCTGCTAATTCCGTTGGCTGATCTGATCTAATTCAGCCGTAGGAACTAACTGTACAAAGAGGAAGAGAGAGCGCTCTTTCTTTGTCGGCCGTGCTGGAGTGCGCTGGTATTGGTATCCGTATCCGTGTCCGTGTGCGTTGTTGCAGTGGCGAGGGTGGCGGCGGTACGGAGGGGGTAGCGGGGATCGCACAGCACATTGGCTACGCCACACTCGAAATCGTTTTTGGGGACTCCAATTTGGGTTCGGAACGAGGGGCTATATATCCACTCCGCACACTTTTTCCGCCGCCGCGTCTCTGCGTATGTGTGTGTGTGTGTGCGTGGTGGTGGTGTGGTGTGGTGAGGTTTTCTGGAAATTGCGACTGCGGCGGAAACGAAACGAGACGAAAAACACACTAACCGCGACACCAGGCGACGTGTTATGCAACTTTCGTATCAATTCATAGTTATTCGCACTGCTTTCGCCGACGCGTTGGGCACTTTAACCATTACGGGTCGTTTACTGCACGCTATTAATTCCACAACGCATCACAGATTCCATTCACACAGTGACAATGACAAACTTTGCAGAAAAAAATGTATTTTCAAGTATGGCCGTCAGCAGTGTGACCAGAGCGATAGAGGTGGAGAAACATCGGTGTTAGCATCGATGTTTTTTAAAACATCGGTACTATCGATGTTTGCCAGGGCATCATCGATGATTTACTGTCTCCAACGAGTATTGAAACCACTGCTTAGTGGGAAAAGTGTCGAACGACACACTGCTTATAATATTTTACGAAATGGCGGTTTCTTAAAAAAGAGACAGTTCATTTTTAAAAGCGTTCTTTTTGTTATTGATTTTATAATACGGTGAAATTAGCGTCCCAGCTTTTTATAGCCTGTATAGTGAAAACAAAAGCCAAAATATATAAAAAAAATTTAATTTTTTTCCACAATCGAACGCTTGCTGTGCTTATTTAATTTTCACTTGATTCTTTTTTAAACATCGATGAAACGTTGAAGTTTTCCGATAAGAACATCGATTTCCGCAAAACATCTCAACCTCTACAGACGTGATCTGGAGCTAGAGTTAAAATCACTGATTATTCGATACTATCGATGTTTTTCAAGCCACCGTCGATTATTTTTGTTCGCCATTTGTAGTTATAAATAATTAGGCAACTAATTAACATATCCCAAATATTTTGTAGAGAATAAATAGGACTTGAGCTATAAACCCTATTAATTCCGAAAAAAAACCTTAAAGATAACGTAGGTTATAGAATGAAATTATTTTCCTCCGATTTTTTTTTTTTAATTTGGTATTGCGAGGTGGAAAAAAAGTTTTCACAATCTAATCTAGCATGCAAGAAAAAGCTAGTGTAGAGCGTTCACATAGGACGCAATTTAATCAAACAACACCTTGCTTGTTTAAAAAAAAAAGGTTTCACGAGCTATTATACATATGTAATTGGACTTATAATTGGAAAATATACTTTCCTTATACTATTTATCCAGACTACCAAGAGAGTGCACTGCTTGAAAGCAGTTGAAAAATTGAAAGACGGAAATATACTAAAAATATACTAAATATACCAACAATGTCATTTTACGTTAGCAGTGTTTTACACCGTGGTGGCAAACTTTAATTAAAATTAAAAAATGTACATTTTTTTAAATCTTAAAAAAATGTATTTGAGCCTTTCCTGCTGGATTAAAATAGTAAGTGCTTTATTACTTATTTATATACACTCCCTCATTCAACCATTGACAATTTAAAATCAGCATTAAAAACACATTTCCGTTTTATTGTTATTTATAAAACAGATAATATATATATATATTTTATAGTTTGTAGATTAAAATATACAAAATTTAGCTAAAAACCTTAAAACTCTTATGTTGTCGTAACAGTAAATAATTATGCTAGCTTGCGACTGTTGCTCTTGCTTGGTTTGTTTTAATGCATTCTTATAAAAATTAATCTAATCCGTTCGCTTGCGCTTTTCCTCTAACCATAAAATTCACCTACATACCATGTCTCCGATCCAACGTTCATTCCCTTACTACATATGCATTAAAGTATATATATTAATATATATTGTGGCTGGCATTAGCTGATTTCTCATAGCAGACAGTTTCAAAATTGTCTGTCAAATGTACACAGATTGAACAAAAAGTCAAATTAAGAATAAACTTAGGGTTAGTTAGACGTAAACTAATCGTGACTAATGTTAATACATTCAACATATTTATCTAAATATCGGCCAATCCGTGCAGTATATGGAAATAATCGCACGTTCGATTTAAAAGCTATATAGTTCGTTTTGTTTTTAAGTTACCAATAGAGTGTTATGTCTTAGTCTAGAATAGAAATCCTGCCGAACGGCATCGATATTCGTCTACATTTAATTTAGTTGGTCTTATCCAGCATTCGGGGTTTTCCAATCTAACAATTAATTGGTGTGTATATATAAAATACGTTTATAATCAAGTGGAATCATGAGGTCCAAAAGTTGTTTATATACAATTATTCGTGCTAGGCATATATAAATGCTTCGGGGTTGAAAGTTCCAACTGTTGTTTAAGTGAAGGAAAGTCTCTTAGGGATTTCCGAAAATCAAACATAGAAGTACTATCTCGATTAAAGCTGCATTCTCCGGGTTGTGGCTCAGATTAATGTTTACCGATTTCGTTGTACTCGAGTCGTGATCTTTTGCAAATGTGGTTCGATTCTGCTTCTGTTTGTGGGTGTGTCCTTATGGCTAGCATCCTTATAACATTTTAATATGCATTCCCTAACAATTAATAACTGATTTTCGCTATGTAATGGTAGATGCGATGCCCTACGCTAATAAATAGACATACATATAAATCCATGATCTGTGGGGAAACCTCATAAACTGAGACCTCGTGAAATTGTGTTAAATGCCATAATGTGTTTGTGTCTTAAAACTACAAAATACACCAATTCTTTATCTAAAATATGTGATCTCGACTTTAAATATGGGTTATCCGTTCGACTATCCTATATAGACTTTGAATATACTTTAACTTATGCAACTTTATGTACTTTTCATGGGAGGTATATCTAGATTCCAAATTTGTAGCGGGTTCCATATATTTGTATCATATCTTTTGCTTACTTGCTATTTTCTTTTCGATTTTTTGTTTGTTTTTGCTTTGTCTGCGTTTCTTCTGTTTGTGTTTGATGTAAATAAAACGCATGCGCAAATTGAAATAATAATTTTATTTAAAAAATAAAAAATAATCATAAAAAATTGTTTACAATGAACAGAGTTGAACTCAAGACTCACTTTGTTTATTTGCATCATCAATCACCAATCATCATAAACAAAATGATATATTGTAGATTTCATCTTCACGTACACATAATAATAATAATAATAGATAAAGGTACTTAGAGAACGCAACTATTAAAGAAATAGATTAAAGAACTAGGAGTTGGTTTTATTCTCTTTTCCTATTCAAGGTTTCCTTTCAAGAGATTGCACGTTTTGGGCAGTGTTTGGAAATTGTTGTAGAAGTTGTCGGTATATTGCATTGAGGATTGCGGTTGCAGTTGCAGTTGCAGTTGTTGAAACTATGGGTCAGTATCTCGGTTCTGTTCGGTTATCTGTTCAGATCTGTTCCATTTTGTTAGGCTTGTTTCGTTTTGTGGCAGTGTGACGTTAACAAGAATACGTTAGTTTAACTTTATGGTTTATAAATAAACTTCAGATCGAGAGAGTTGAGTTTGGTTTGGTGTTCTAAGACTGCTTAAACGATGGCTCAAGGAGTGATTTTCTTCGGGCTTATCCAGTGAGTTTTTTGCTTTTGATGTTGTAAATATACAAAACTTATCAAATAATAATTACAAGAAAGTTTAGACCACCAGTTTTCTGGGTTCTTAGCTCCAGTTAGGAAGTGTGTGTTTTTGTGTTGGGAAGAGTTAAGGGGTTTAGCTGGAGAAACACTTAAATAAATAACCTACACGTAGTCGTAAAAATAGCTATAACTATGAAATAATAAATTTCCATCTCTTTTTTTTATAAAATAAGCAACAAAAACAATTAGCCCAAGTACAGATACCCACGCAGATATGTTCAGATGTGTTAAAGATCTGTGAAGTTATATCCTCTGCACTGGGTTTGTCCTTGGGCAGCGGGGGGGCCAGGGGGGCAGTTGAAAGGGTATTAGGCTAGGCATATACATACTCATATACATTTAGATTTAGATTTAGATCGATAGAGATAGAGAATTTCTTGCAGCTATAAGGGTTCGTACTCATTTACATATTACACACATTTATCGAATATCAATATGAATCAATTCGGTCGTCCTTTGTCCTTCCGCCATAGCAATAGCAATAATAATATTAATAATAGTAATAATAATAATAATAATAACCAATAATAACAATATTCATTACAGTTACAGTTTACAGTTAAAATTACAGTTACAAGTACAACACTAACGCCAATGAATAGATCATTATTTACCGCCGATTTAGCTGGGTGTATGTATAGGGTACAGGACACAGGGTATGAATATATATATATATATAAGTATATGTACGCGTATTGGGACTATCCGCTATGTGTAACCTATGCTTATCGCTGGCTAACCAAGAAACTCAACGCATGTACAAAGAAATCCCTACCTCGCGTGGCTTTCAGCCACTATTGCCGCTAGCCGGTTGATTTTTACCCCACCCCAGAACCTATTGCCATTCCAGCCCGATCCGCTCCAGGATCGAACTATATTTACAGGCTACCTCCTACTCCTCCTCCTGCTCACACGCCATTGCAGTCGATCTCCACGATGTCCTTGGGCACATCCACGAACTGGTAGACCAGCCTCTGGCCATCCACCTTGGCCAGGATGCCGCGCTGGTAGTAGTACCTCAACGCCCTGCCCATCGTCTCATAGTTCATGTCCGGCTTGTTCTTGTGCATGCCCCACAGGCGGGACACCGCCTTCGAGTCCACCAGCTTGAAGACGCCCTTCTCCCGGTTCGTCCACTTGATGAAGCGCGGACAGTACTCGCGATCCTGCAGCAGCTTGAGTAGGAACTCCCACAGGTAGGTGGTGGATCCCTCCCGGCTGCGCCGTTTCACGCCCATCTCCAGCTTGGGCTTGCGCGGCTTCTTCGCCTTGCGCTGCTGGAAGCCGCCCAGTTCCAGCATGTAGGAGAGATCGTAGCTGACGCTGGACGTCGCCGGTTGGATAACGCTCTGCGATCCGCCCGCCGCCGCTGCCGCCGTTGCTGCTGCCGCTGCACTGGCGCTCAGCATTGCCGCCGCTGCAACGGCACTGCTGCTGCTGCTCACGACGGATGCGGCTGCTGCTGCTGCTGCCGCTGCGGCGATTGTGGAATGCGTGTGCTGGCCCGCGTGCGGATGCGAGTGCGGATGGGAGTGCGGATGTGAGTGCGGATGCGAACCATTTAGCTGCGAGTGCGGGTGTTGCTGCTGTTGTTGTTGCTGTTGCTGCTGCAGGTGTTGCTGTTGCTGGTGCTGCTGCTGTTGCAACTGTAGGATTTTCTGAGTAGATTCTTGCTGGTGACCCATTCCTGCAAGGAAAATAAAATCAAATTAGATTAGATTATATAAAAGAAAGTGAATGTGA